CTATCAGAACCTTCAAGTGCCCCGTGTGGATGACCCCGCAGAACAAACCGTTGTGAGGTGGAAACCAGCACAGGCTGAGCCTGGCCAGGATGCCTGTGCGGCCAGACCAGAGGCCTCTGGGCCCCCAGCCCTGGTTTCACTCCCACACAAACCTTAGGCCACTGCTTACCACACCCGCATCCAGGTAGTTCAGTGACTAAAATGCGACTGAATATTTGGAGGTCTCCAACAAATCCCCAGATCCCTGTAGCAGTGTAAGTGCTACGCTTTGAGAGATGTGTTTATGGCCCCTTTGACGACATTTGTTGCTTTTCTAGTCCGTGTATTTGTTTCGAAACAAGCACTACCTTTGGGTGGTGGCGGCCTTGTTTATGTTCTGCAGGAATCCAGACAGAGATGGATGTAAGCCCCACGCGTGTGAGTAGCACACTGGTTGTGAGGAGAGAATAGAGCAGCTTTCTGTTCAGGACTTGCATTGGATTTAAATACGCATACACATAATGTTTTGGAATTTCACCCTTCTGTCCGCCTGAAGTGTGTCGATGTGGATAAATCTATTCTCAGGTTTCCACACAGAGATGCTGGTAAACGAAGATCTGAGGTTTTATCTTTCTGTAGTGTAATCACAAGCACTTTTTGTTTATTTTGTTTTAGTTTATTTGTGGGGCTTCTTGATAGGTATTCCTGATTTGGCACATTATTAACTGGAAACAATTTCAGACTTCTTTAATGTAGGTTTGTTGGGACTGAGGTTGATATTTCTTCACAAATACTGATAGCTTTTTCTTTTCTTAAAATAATAGAAGTTAAAAGAAAGAATTGTGTAAAGAAAGAAATACATTTTGTTTGGCCTCACTGAAATTCCACTTGGCTGCCTCTGGCACAGATTTTTTACTCCAATTCTGCCCCGCAGCTGTGAAAGGCTAGAAGTTTTCAAAATGAGATCGAGTTTGTGTCCTCGCATTCCTCTCCGTTTTTGAGTTGCCTTTGGGCTGGCCCTGCACCGGGCAGCTTGCAGGAATTTCTCTGACGGAGCTTAGCAGACACGCCCAAGGTGCGCTTTGCAGTGGCTAGCAGGGAAAGGACTGGTTTTTTCAGATAATTAATTTTTTCCTGTCGTCTGCATTCATCCACAGGGACAGTGAGTACCTGCTAGGTAATTTCATAATTAATTGCAGGTTATTCAAAAATTGTGACATCAAATTGTGACCCAAATTAAACACAAAACAAAAAAAGTGCCAGGTCTGGCTTGCACCAGTTGGCCTTTCCTACGGGAGGGTGATGATCCACTTTCCCGAACACTTGCTATGCACAGGGAGAGGCGGCTCCTAGAATCCAATCTTCCTGCAATTTGGGGGGCAGTGATCCGAGTCACCACTTTGACATAGATAAAGCGGAGCCTTAAGGAACCCCACCACCCAAGGTCACCCAGGCTGATCACCAGGCCACAGGACCAAAATGAATACTTCCTGGTGCAGTTTCCTGCCAGTGCCCTGGCTCTTTGGGGTCCCTGGAGGTCTCAGCCAGGACCTTTCTGGCCAAGTGTTCTGGGTTGCAGAAGCCAGCGTAAACAACATGCACATTCCACACAGACAGCTCCGGCAGGAGGGACACCCACCTTCTCAGTGTGAAATTGAGGTGGCTGTGTGGCTGATGTCATCAACCAGCTCGAGGCACACTGAGGTGAGGGGCGTGGGAAGAACAGACTAAGGAGGAAAAGATGGCAGCAGAAGGCGGAATGGAAGAAAAAGGAGAGAGGAGACGAGGCGATGCTGCTTCCTCGGCTTTGGAGTTACTAAGCCGAGTTCAGATCTTAGCTTCAGATTGGGAACTTGCCCAAATGCACTAACGGTCAGTTATTTATCAGATGATGAAGACTCCCACGTGTACTCCTGGTTCCCAGCGCTGGTGTTGCTCCTGCAGTGTGGAGGGCTTAGTGTGGCTGGTTTGTGATGGGAATCTACAGTTTCAGCTCGAAGATTGTCCGTGCTCACACCAAGAAGTTCAGAGATAGGCCGTTGGGGCTAATTGGGTGGCTCACTGAGAAGAAAGAGCTCCCTGGCCCCCTCCAGCTGTATTTCTTGGCAACCTCCGAGTTTGCAAAGAGGCTATTAGAGCTCCAGCAGTCATATCCTCATTTTAGAGAGCAGGATGGACGAGAGACAGAAGGAAAGCCCAGTGTGTTCTTTGCCGGGAGATTCCCAGAAATGCTGTATTTGACATCTGCTGGGTCAGAATTTATCTTAGACTCAGTTCAAAGAGCCTGGGGAGCGTAGATTTGACGATTCTCCATTTTATTTGAGCCCTTGGCATGGATGATTGTAAGAAACCTCATGATCTTTAGGGAGATGTCTTAGAAATGAGAACTGTGACTCACGATCATAATGGTAAGTCACAGTGGAGGTCCCACCTGTGTGTGCAGCTTAACACGCACTCATTCACCTAAGAGAGCTGTGACTATCCCTGCTTAACAGAAAAGAAATAGGGGCTTCAAAATGTAAGTGGTTTTCCCAGGAGTACAGCACCAATAAAAAGCAGAGCCAGAGCTCACAGCCACGCTCAGCCTTTTCAGATCCTACGCACTGAAGACTGACTCGGTCCCCAATCTCAGGTTTTAACTTGGTAGCTTGTAACATCTCTACAGGGCATCTTTAAAACCTTCTAACCTTTTTGTTCTGCAGTTTTAAGCTTCCTGACTCTAGCGCACACGTGCACACACACACACACACACACACACACACACACACACACAAGTTTATGTTTTTTTCCCAAAGGTTGACCATTTTTTTTCTGTTCCAATTCTTTATTCCTTGAATTTTTCTAGGTAACATATGAATTTTCATGCAAAAATTCAAAACTTTTCAATCTTCAGCGTAAATGGGTTAAACTCAGTATCTACCCTTAACCAAGAGCCTTCTGATCGTGATTAGGACGCTCACGTGCTTGTGTAAAATGACATGTTTTTTATTATTTCACTAATGACATTTGGGTAAAAGTCCCTGGTTTGAGTAAAGATAGCGCTGGCAGCTTACAAAGCTAAGCTGAACCCAGCCTTCTAACCCCAAAGCTGAGAAGCAGCACCTCCACCCCTCTTCCTTTCATCTCTGTCTTTCGTCTTGTAAAAAGTGCACCAAGAGGCTGATACAAACCTGTATTGCCAGGCTTTGCCCCACATTTCCCAAAGCCTTCATTTGATCCCGGCTTATCGGATCCTTGTTCTTCACTTTTGACACTGTTCAGCATGTGTGTTGGCCAGGAAGCTGTGTCTGGGAGTTGTGGGCCACTTGTTACCTTGTTAATGAGCACTGCTTTTGCAGGTACAGCCTAAAAGCTACTGGGGATCACGGTGGTAAGGAAGGTCCCACCCCCAAAGACAACCATGAGACTGGATTTTAGACACGCCTGTTAACAAGCAATTAGACTGTGACACAGCGTGCGAATCACCACTGACCTAGATGTAGACACGCCTGTGGTCCTTGTAATTACTAACGTGTCACTGTCCCTCTGGTGGCCACCCGCCCCTTTGAGACATTCCTAAGAAATTACACTGGGCAAATCGGCAATCTGTTGTGGCAGTCTTTGCACTTTCCCCTTAAACAGTGCAATTTATGTCCCTGTGTTAGTAAGTGTGTTAATGTTACTTTGTAAAGAAGATGGCGACCTAATTATATGATGCCTGTTATTCAGACTCAGTCTGTTTGTAAAAATAATTTTACTTATGTGACATGCTGAGTAGTGTCAGAAATAAAGAGCAAGGGTACGATAAGCCGGCATCAGATCCAGGCTGTGTGAAATTTGACGCTGGAGGCTGTCAATCAGTACAGGTTTGTATCAGGTTCATCTTGACACACTTACAAGATTCGAGAAAAACAGTGTTTCACCTGACAGATTAGAGACAGGAAACAGTCACCCAGGATGTGAGGCTGATGACAGAATCTCACCGAAATCTCCACTGAATCTATCTTTTGTGCCTGTGTTAACCGAGCTCCATCTGTCTGAACTCTGGGTTCTCTTTTGGGGCTGCAGGTCCCTACATAAAGGGCATGCGCATTCCACACACATGGCCCGTCCTGCCCAGGCCGGCTCCGACAGGAGGTTGTATGTAGGTCCCTTGTCACAGGTCCTGGGCCAGGATCCTTGGTTTGTGGATACTGAGCCTCCTGGCTGTCCTAATCATCCTTGTCACCTTGAAGTAATGGGCCTTATTGTGGTCTAGAGTTAATTTTACTTGGAAAATTCACAGCTTCGGTTCACCTGTCATAATGAATAGTACTTGTGCAGAGTTTTATAGTCAAATAAATGAAAGTACCTTCTGCACTGTATTTACCCCTTCCTGTGTCATGGAGCCAAGTAATTTCTTTTCATTGGTGACGTTAATGTAACAGACACGGTGTGGAGGAGAACAGCCATGTGCGAGTGGTTTTAATGGGGTCTTATGCGGGGCCAGTGGTGGCCCGTGAGGGGGCTTAGGTGCCTCAGCTGCGCAGGCAGGGAGGAAAGAGACATTGAGACTGTCGCAGTCTCAATGCGACAGTGTGGATTGGCTTTTCTGGGGACCATGTGCAGCCATCAGCCTTTGCCGTGGATGCTGATGTCCCCGAAGTATGGCAAAGAAACAGTCGTGGAGGGAGGCGAGAGTTCCATGGTCAAGCTGGGAGAGAAGTGGACAAGCCCCTCGCACTCATTATTAGGTGTCAGAGAAAACCCTGAAATAACGGCGTGGTGTTAGGGCCAGGAGGAGTGAAGAGAGGACTTGGCACCGACTGCCCAGGAAGGGAAAATCTGTCGGTGAGCACACCGTGATGCCACCAGAGCTTGGAGCCCAGGAAGCCTGGGTGGGAGCAGCCGGCAACCAGAGCTGGGCTTGGGCAGCGTCCCCAGCAGTGTTTCCCACAGCCTGGTGCAGTGTCCCTCCTGTCCCCCTGGACCTGGTCCCTGCTCTGTCCCGCGGGCACCACTGAAGCTATGTGTGCTCACGCGGGCTCTGCCTTGCCTCCTAGGCGTTCTTCGTGGACCACAACTCCCGGACCACCACGTTCATCGACCCGCGGCTCCCGCTGCAGAGCAGCCGGCCCACGAGCGCGCTGGCTCACCGGCAGCACCTGACCAGACAGCGCAGCCACAGCGCCGGGGAGGTGAGCCCGGCTGCGGGCCCGGGGTGCAGGGTGCGGGCAGCTTCCAGTCATCTCGGGGTTGGCTTGGTGTTTCTGGTTTGATTCTTAAAAGAGTACCACCCACGGGCTGGCGAGCTTTGCAGTGTCCACAGAAATACAGCCTTCGTTAGAAATTTGAAAGGTAGAGCACTCGAAGAAGCAGTAAAGAATAGTTTTTTTTTCTTTTCAATTCAGAGATAGTGAGAGGGGTTGGCATGGTCAGGAGAGTGTGATGAGCTTTGCACACCCGCGATGGAGTTCTGCTCTGCTATGAAGAAGGGCAGACTCCAGCCAGTCATAGGAAAGTGTGTGCCCCGCAGACCCTGACGTTAGGTGAAGTAAGGGAGACACACAAGCTTAGATCCCAGCTTCTCTTATATGACAAACCTGGACCATAAGTATTGGGACAGGTAATGAAGAGGGAACAAAGAGATGGAGCCAGTGGCAGGAGAGGACAGGGAAGGATTTGCAGAATTAGGAATTTCATGCTTGAGTGCCAGCTACGTACAAAGAGTGTAATCATCACGATCACAAACATGTACTAATAAAAATAGTAAAATAGAAAAGAAATGGAGGTGTTGTGGGCTAAGATTTTGTTTAGCGCAGGGAACACTTTCTTGAGGGTTGCTGGCTCCTGTTAAGGTATTCACCCACAGCGCGGCTGTGGAAGCTTCTCTGGAGTTCTTCAAAGCCGGCCCCCTGCAATGGACCTGTGCTCAGAGAGAGTGGCCCGTGAGAACCCCCAGCAGCTCTTGTGCTCCGCCTGGCCAGGCCGCAGTGGCCTGTGGAAGCCACACGAGGGCTCTCCAGGGACCCAAACACCCAGGTCTCCTCCCCTTCCACGCTCTTCCTCCCTGGCCTGAGCGAATCAAAAGCCGTGTTTTAGTTTTCTTCTCCTTAGTGTGGGTTTCTGCTTTGGGTGTAATCGCTGCTTGATGTACGTTGTTTCTAAACGTTCCCAGAGACAAACAGAGTGAAGATTCCCTTCCTGCATACCTCTCCCGTCTCGGTGAATATCCTACCTTCAACCAGAGGCCACATATTTTTGTGGTTTTTCTTAAAGGAAAAAAAAAAAAAAAAAAAAAAAAAAAACACCACCATGAATGCAATAAATAAGTGGATTCAATTCATCAAAATTCTAGTCCTGGAATTTCCCGTCATGATTTATGTACTTGCCCTAGTGCATCATGTGCTTACTGGTTTGGTGCAGACGTAGAAGAATACACACAGGCAGGTCATATAAAAATGACATATAAATCTATTGCAGGCTGAGGTATGCACCAGAATATTTACGCTTTATGAGTAGCTGATAAATCTTTGCCTTGCTGTCACGTAAATCATTAGTGGTGACCTGGAGGACACTAGACCCATTTATCTTAAACACAGACCTTTCACCTTCGGACCTGGGTACGTACTTAGTGTAATTAGGGCTGGGTGACCTCGTCATGTGGCCGGTGCCCTTTAGCCGCCCACCTTACCCTGACTTCTCCGGGATTAGTAGCTGTCTCCCATTCCCTTTCAACCTCAGCCCTCAGGACTGAATTGTTTTCATGGCTCAGCGGTAGCCTGTCAGAGCAGAGAGGTTTTAAGTGGTGCTTTAGAATTTCAATGGAGATTTATCTTCCTGTGGCACCGAGGGAATCTTCTAGACTCAGCCACAGCTCTGGACAGCCTGGAGCATCTTGAAGCACTTGCCCAGGCTTCTCGGAGGAACTGCTCACTGCCTTGTGGTCCGAGTTCAAGAAATGAGATCTAAGGACCTTTGGCTGTTCAGGGAGGTGAGGATGTGATGTCCCACACCAAGAAGAGAGAGACTACATGAGTATTGGCGTGTTGAGGCCCTAAATTCTCTGGCTGATGGACGACTTGCAAAGAATGGCTGATTTCCACAGAGTGGTGGAGTCTGCTTCTCAGAGCTGGTAACTCAGACAATTAGAAGTAGTTACAAGTCGTCCCAGCCTCCATCCTGTATTCCAGTACTCAGATATTCCAGTCAGGAGAGCTACTCATTTCTCTTCCATCCAAAAGAGTAACACCAGTACCTTCTACAGTGTAAAAATGTGGTGGTTGCCATCCTGAGAGATAAAAATAATTAGCTTGTTTCCCTTAATAAGGAAAGAAAGTATAAAATCACCATTCAGGTGAGTAAAAATATGAATGAAAGATCCTACACTGTTTCTTTTTTAGTGGTTGAGAAAGAAAGCTGTACTTCAATGGCCTTTTTAGATAATTGTGGATTTTTTTCACTTATTTATTTCCAGATGTATTAAGGTATAACTGACAAATAATATAACCTCTTCGTAAAGACAACCACTTTAGAAATGTATGTCAGGTGCCACTGGAGCTCAGTAAAGGTTGCCTTTAACTTCGCCCGAAGCTTGAGTGAAGGCCATATTAAAGAATGAGTGAGAACATTCTAGAAAGAAAAGCCAACAGTGGCCTGTGGGGAGGCTGTTGGTACCAGGAGGGTCTTTACAAAGTCCTCAGCAAACATCCAACAGATACGACAGGAGAAAAAGATTGTGAAGGTTTCCAGTGGGCAGACAGAGAAGTTTCCTATTGAAAGTACCAATTTGGAAATCCAGTATGTTATTTTGCTTCTCATTCTCTTCCTCTTTTCCACTCTGGTTCCACAGCTGTCCACAGCTCCTAGATTACAGAAGCAAGAGCTAGAAGAAAACCAAAAGTAGAGACTTGGTACCCACATGATGGGTATTTTCAGCTCTTTGCTTGTGTGTATGAGTTTCTAAACCCACAGCAGGACCAGTAAATAAGTCAAGTGGGGTGACCCCGATTAGCTCCCCCATAACTGCCACCGTCAGCTCCCAGGCGCAAACCGGAAGGAGGGGCTGTGCAGGTGCCCCAGGGTGCGTGGGATGCTCCTGGGAGACAGCACACCCGCTGCGGGTGGCTGCGTGGAGCCTCTGCGCTGAGGTTGGGAATTCCCTGCCTGCCTCTGCCAGAAGAAGGAGTCTCCTGGCGCTGACCCAGAGCCTGCCTGCACCCCATTCTTCCGTGACTGCAGCCTGGCAGGCTGGGTTTTGTCGGTGCAGAAGTTGTTCCTGATCAACGAGTCTGCTCTTTAGCTGCCTTGGCAGTCACACACAAGGGGAACCTCTGTGTCACCTGCAGTCACCGCCCTGTGCTTCTCAGGTGTCCCAGGCCTCCTCCCCTCCCAGCCTCGGGGGCAGGCAGTCAGGGCCACCGCTGGCACTCAGGCAGATTGGTTGGAGTCCACCATGCTGGTGGCTGAGCATTTTGAACAGTGGCTGGGTCTGGGGTGCAGATGGACAGCTCAGTGGGTCTGGGCGTAGACCGTCAGCTATGTTTACCTTCGCAGGTCGGGGAGGACTCCCGGCACGCGGGGCCACCCGTGCTCCCCAGGCCGTCCAGCACGTTCAACACAGTGAGCCGGCCGCAGTACCAGGACATGGTTCCAGTGGGTACGTCACCCCTCTCCGGAGCTCCCCATGCATCCGGGTCACTGCACACCAGGTGGCGCATCTGGACAGCTCCTCGTGGTCGATTTATTTTGACCCATATCAAGAAACTATTCCATTATCCCTAAGAAATTTCTAACAGAATAGAGATTCAGCTGGTGATTGTGTGGAAGCTGTCTGTGACTTATGGCGTCGACTTGGGAGGCAGTTTGTTGTCTCCCACATTCTGAGGATAGCTGTTACTGACAGCTACGGCATTTGGGGAGTAGCAGGGCTGCCTCCTCATCTCTCTGGCTGTCTTAAGATTTAACCAGAAAAGACTGTTGTTGTTTCTGTGAGGTTTGAGTAAACTTAAACTGACCGATGGTGAGTGTCTTGTTGGATAATCCCTACGGGTCATGACGTGCGTTTAGTAAGAGCACTTCAGTAAGGCACACTTACCAGGTCTAAGACCATCTGTCCTGGAACAGGCAACCATGGCAGAAATAACAGGGTAGTTTCGAACTATGCATTTCAGTACAAAGAATACTAGAGAAACGGATTTTTAAAGTTTAGTTTTTTATGCACAAAACTAACAATGGATTTTTTAAAGTTATTCTCTGATTTTAAAGTTATCATGTCTGATTTTTTTTTTCAGCTTACAATGACAAGATTGTCGCATTTCTGCGTCAACCCAACATCTTTGAAATCCTGCAGGAGCGTCAGCCCGATCTCACCAGGAACCATTCACTCAGGTACCCAGGGTGTTGGGGTCTGGCTGAAGCCGCATAAGCGCCAACCATTAAGTCTTGGTCACACTGATAAAAGTTTTGTAAATTCACGCTTTCTGACATTCTTTACAAAGGCATCTTCTGTACCAGTGTTTCATGTTGCTAACACCAAGTCGTTGTGTCCTAGCTTCTCTTGGTGAAGTGTAAGAGTTTCAGTAAGATTAAGCAGCACGGAAACCCCTGTGAAGAAGAAATTTGAGAAAGCAAACATCGATAGTTAAGCATGCACCCTCGATGTACAGAGTAAGGTGGAAACAGCCAGACAGCAGCCTTTGGAGTGAGCTTCAGAACTCAAAGTGACAGTCTTTTGAACTGAGGTCTGCACATCCTCAACTCAGGATTCACATTTTTCCATAATAAAAACCCAAAGGAGCGCACACAGGGGAGCGGGTTCTCTGCAGTTCGCACTGCCGGCCTGGCTCTCAGCGCCCTGGCCTTGCTGCCGGCTGATCTTCCCCGGCAAGCTTTCCTCTTCTCAGTCTGGCAAGAAGGGCCTTTCTCCTACCACTTGGGCAGGTTCTCCTTCCTTGAACTCTTTCATCTCCTCTGTGGACTCTTGTGAAATGAATTGTTTGCAACAGAAGTGTTCATGAACCAAGGTGCTGTTGTATTTCTCAGCCTCTGGATACTGTGCATTGGTGTCCTGATGGAAAGGGGAATTTCTGTTCAGAATCTTGCATGCCCAAAGCCTGTCTGGTCAACGTCCCCCCTTTATTAGTAGGAATGTATTAGTCTGTAAAATATAAAATTCCAGCTGGATGTTGTGGCGCACCAGCACTCTGGGAAGCTGAGGCAGGAGGATCAAAATTCCATCATAGCCTTAATGGCTTGGAAAGACTTTATCTTACAATTTAAACAAAGGGCTGGGGATACAGCTCGGTGTGAAGGTCCTGCTTTCAATCACCATGACAAGGGGAGAAAGGTCTCACCCCACCCCCTACCCTTCTCCAAACCTATCCTCCTACATCCTATCCAGAAATTTAAATCAAGAGTTCCAGAGTGAAGCCCTGGCATTCTTTACTTTAAATCGCTCTGTATCATTTTTATGGCACTTGCAGGTATAATAACTTCTGGTCTAGACATTGTGTTGATGGTTAATCATATACTGTATCAAATTGCTCTTTGTAGTCTTTTTACTATGTGGCTTTCATGCTTTAATTTGATTTTTAAAAGTCATATGCTTTATTTTCCAGTCAGATAATATGAATAATCTAATAATACACAAATAGGAATCTTCTCCAACTCATTATCCTGCTCCTTACTAAGCCAGTGCCTAGCGTAGTGCTTTGCGTTGAAAATAATTTACCAAATAGTAATGTAATGGTCTCAGTTGCTACTGTGTCTTAAAGTTGTTATCACTTTTATAGCTTCCAAAGGCTAAAATGATACCAACTTTCAAGTACATTACGGATGTTGCTAATAAAGAAATCCTATTTTCACACAGCTAACATCAAACTTAAGTGTGAGTGTTTTCCCCCTATAAACTTGATATTCTAGATCTCAGACCGAAAAAGTAAAACTAAAAATTACCAACGTGTGGATTTTGTGGTTGTTTATTGTGGCATCCTTGAAGCTGCCCATGGTCCCCTCGGGAATCTTGCGTAAGATGTTTTGGTAATGAAGTTGCAGATATGAGTTTCTCAGTGGTCTAGTTAAGGATGTTAGAGTCTGAACCTCAGAACTAAACAAACAGAATTCTTCCTTCTTTTGCTAATCACAAAATAAAGAAAACTCTGTTTCCTCTCAGTCCACTTTACCCAGCCACAACACTCATCCAGGTTCACACACACATGCACACACACATGCACGCACACGTGTGCCCTATAGTTAATGTCGTCTTCTCTGAATGTGCTTCAGCCTCCACAAAAGAGGGAGAAATAAGAAACTCAAAAGGTTTTCCAACTTTGCTCTGTACTGTGCACTGTAGTTTTAAACAGTTAGCACACCTTTAGGTGCGTGCCTTTGGGGCTGTTGGACTGTTGAATTTACCTGAACTTTATCACTGTTCTCCCAGGACGTGACAGAACCTGGCAGAGGCCAGCTGTAGAAAGCTCCGGGTATGGTTGGGAGCTTCCAGCTTGATTTCTGTTTTCTTCCTGCGGTTTGGAGTCTCACATGTCTCCAGCCTCCTGGAGATTGCTAGAGGCTTTTTATTTTTTAGAGGATCCTCAGTTAAACACAATCTTTCTTCTAACATAGACCTCTCATGGTGATATCTTACTAAGAACTTATTTGGTGGACTTTGGAATCCGTGTGCAGCTCTTTACCTTTTAAAGACTCCTCACAGAACTGACCACGGCAAGCTAGCGCAGCTGGACACATAGGAGGAACTGGGGCTGAGCCGTGAGGTAATGCCTCCCCTTTCACCCAGAGGACGGGTCACATGCACTTTCATTTTCTGAAAAGTTTTTTTCAGTAGTTAGGCACTTTGCTTATCATAGCAACATAAAGGGGAAGTCTGTGTGTCTAAGGGAACACTCTGTTTCATACATTCAGAGCCGCCTCATAAGGAACATTCCCACAAATGCAAGGGTGGAGCACCAGCTGGTTTTATGAGTCTCCTGTTGTGGCTGTGTTTGTGATAACACGGTGTATTGGTCACTGTTTTATCACTATTACAAAACACCTGAGATAAGTAACTTTCAAAGAGAGAAGTTTTATTTTGGCTCATAGTCTTGGATATTCTGGTCCACGGAGAGACAGACCGGTGTTTTATGCCTCGGTGGAGGAGTCGGGCGGCAGCTTGTTGGGGCTCACGGTTTCCGTGGGGTTAGTCTGTGGTCAGCCAGCTCCGTGGTAGAAACAGCTTGGCAGAGAAAAGCTGCTCCCTCAGAGGCAGGCAGAGGCAGAGAGAGGGGATGGTAAGGCCGGGGATAAGAACGCAGTCTTCCAGGCCGTGTTCCAGCGACTCTCCTCCCGCCAGGGGCCACCTCCTGAGAGCGCATTCAGCCATCGATGAGCCCTCTGATGCGCAGAGCACCCCATCTAGTCACCCTCCACACCCAAGAGATTTTGAGGGGACATTTTGGATCTAAACTGTAACACCAGGGTAGCATTCAGTGCCATCTTCCTTGTCTGTGTCACAGGCGCCTCAATAACCATTTTCGCTTCCTCCTTAATAGAATGAGGAAATAGAGTAGCCCTTGGCAGGTGAGAGTAGGGCTCCTTCTTTAGGTGTGTTTTTGTTTTTGGTGGTTTCTACAAACCAGCAGGTAGCAAGCCGCTGTTCAGATTGTATTCCCGTGCAGCTCCTCCTTCTCCCAGGAAACTGCACTGCGTGTGTTTCCTGTGGAATGGCGGGGGGTTTTCATGCAACAGACCCTGGCCTTCAGCTTCTATCGCTGCCCTGAAATCCCTTGTCTGTCGTCTGTCTTGCAGATGTGAATGCTACCATGTTCTTGTCCTTCTCTGATTTTTTATCCTCTTGAACCTTGGAAGAGGTGTAGTACCCCACTTGGCAAAATCAGCGTCCAGAGTGTTCCCCTTCTATCAGATGGTGAGCTGCTCGCCTGGGCTGTCACGCCTGGCTGCTGGTCTCTCCAGAAGGCAGTAATTGTACCTCCGTGCACGTGTGCTGTGACGTGAACACGAGCGCTGAAATGCCAAGGTCTAATTTACAGTAACTGTTGATACCTCTTAGGTGAATACAGTGCACACAAATTCAAGAAAACTTTAGTTTTGCTGTTTGTGCAATATTCTGATATGACAAGGAACCCTGAATGTCATAAACCCAAACTGAGTTGAGAACTTCCTGTCCTCTGTGATTATTATGTCCAGCCAGTAAATCTGCTGCATGCCAGGCCTGATTTCCCCAGATATCAATGATAATTACTTTGGACACGAGAATGATTCTTCTTTGACTGACATGGAAATTCCCCTGCCACAAGAATGTGATCTTTGATACTTTTTGTTGCCTTGTCTCAAGAATGTGATCAGTGCCAATATTCTATTGCATAAGTCAAGCTATTCTAATTTTATGTTATTAGTAAATCAGTAACTTGGAGACCTAAGAAATTCCAAGCCACAAAAGGCAAATGATATGTGTTTTTAGATTCACCAGGCCAGAAACAAAAGCACTCAGACCTTCTGTATCTTTCCATCATGCTATCTTGAGAGCTTTGTAGCTTTGTCGTAATTTAATTTTACTCTTACTTTAAAAAAATAACTATTTCCCCATTTTAAAATGATTAAACAATACAGAAGTGTAATTTACAAATTAGATATATTAAGAAATGAATAACAATAGCTACTAGTAAAATAGAACAATTATAGTGAAAGTTATTGAAATGTATCCATTTTTAATTTCTGGGAATTTTCATTTAGTATTTCTGGACTGCGGCTGACTGCCAGTAACCGAAATGTTAGAATGTGACACAATGGGCCGGGAGGAACCTCTCTACGTAGATTTAGCTTTATTGAGAATCGTATTTCTCATCTACTGAATTATGGGAAACATAAGCCTTTTCCAGGAATTATCTCTTTGAAATTCACAGCATTATTTCTACTTTATGAAGCGGCCAATTTCTTATCTACCATGTATCACTGAGGTACTCAGTAAACGTATGTGGAGTGGGCAGAAGGCACAGTGAGAGTGGCTTGTTAACAGCAGCAATGGAGGGCTGGGGACGTAGCTCAGCTGCACGGCGCCTGCTTGGCAGGCACAAGGTCCTGAGTTTGATTCCTGGTGCAAAACAAAAAAGAAGCAGAAAAAAGAGTGGGTCTTCAGAAATCAAGTTTGACTCTTTTTGGTGGATCACACTGTCTGCTGCAGAATGAATAAATCACTGTGTGGCCTGTCTGGTGATATACTCAATAGTTTAAATTCTTGAAGTCTTACAGCAGCCCCTAGGCGAAGTATTTTATTTGCATTCTATCATTGTGCTTACAGTGAGGAAACAAGCAAAGAGGATTAAGTAATCTTTAGTTCTTAGCCTGGAGATGATTTATACCCACTTACAACAAATTTTACTCTTAATTTATGTGACTCTCCTGAATCCCTAAGAATCATACACCATGAGGACCTACACGCCCAAGTCTAACGTGATAATGAGAGGTGGAAAGAAGTGAGCTTTGCTACTGCCTGGCTGTCCGTAAAGTCAGACGGTGAGCGTGAGTGGTCAGTGCTCGCTTGCCTTTCTTGACGTTAGATCACAGGGAAGTTTGCAGTGCTTGTCTAAGCCGCCCTCCAGCTGCTTTTAGGACATGTGTTTAGGCTGTGTTCCGGAACCGAATCTGCAGGGACCCCATGTGCGGAGGGAGAGCAGAGTGCATACCCTCTTCTGCTTCGGAAGCACTGGCTGGCTGCAGGGAGGACACTTCCTGTGGGAGCTTCCAGCCCAGCCTGTGCTCCTTGTCCTCAGATGATCTTCTGCCCCCGTTGGTCTTCGGCAGGGGGTTCCGGGCGTGGGAGGAAGTGGTTACACAGCCCAAGCATTGTGACTCTGAGTGACAGCGCTTGCTGGCGACTTTTTCCTAGCCCTGTGCAGCTTAGCATTGTGTTTTAACAGTTGTGGGTTTTCTTACTAAAACATTGCTTCTTAAAAAAATGAAAAGCTTGCTGCTTTACCTGTCTTCGTGCGTCCCTCAGTGGATTCGGGTTTAGTAACTCACTGGATGGCAGCTTTCTGATTCTCCATTTTCCCCCTTGCCACAGCAGAAAGGATAGCGGGATTGTTTATTCCCAACACGGGGTGAAGTGCGAGGATGAGCGCTGTTTCGTGGGCATCGGCGGGTCGGGTGCCTGGCTCTTCTTTTGCCAAGCCCACACTGCAGCGGTGTGTGGAATCCCCATCACCGTGCTCTGGGATTAAACAGAATTTCTTCATGCCACAGATCCCCTGTCATGCTACACGTTAGCCAGTAAACTTGATAAACATCTTCAAGTGACACGCAGAGATCCCAGACAGATAAATCTTCAAAGGCATTTCTCCAACTAATGATGAATTCTAAACTCCCAGTGAACTCATGGAAATCTGAGTCGAAGCTGTTCTTTTCCATTCTAAAAGCAGAAGGAATCTTGCAGACCCGTCACGCTGACTTGAACCACGTTCCTGCATGTACAGATTTCTTACCCTTATGGAAACTGTAAGCTGAAAGACACATGAATTAAGCAAAACAAAGAAAATCAGTAGCATTTGAAGTAACACTTGATGTGAGGACAGTTTGTTTTTCAGAAGCTGAGCTGCCAATGCTGAGGCCATTGTTGGGAAGGCACATTTGTGTTCAATTTGGTTCACTCTGTTTTGCTTCTCGTGGTCTATCACATGTCTGTTGCAGTCACCACTTTTCCCTCGTATCCACCGATGCCTTGTTTGATTGCAGTTTATTTGGTGGTGTGTCCCCGAGTCTCCTATTGAGGAAGAACTGGGCCATCCAGCACCCCTGGGGTGGCTGGGGTCTGACACCACCTTCCCATCTGCAAACTGCTGCCACACTGTGGTTCTTGGGAGAACCCTTGACCTCTTTTAGGTGTTATTTAGCATACACGCATAATTCGCTTCTAAAATCTGTCTCTTCTGTTTTCTCATTAGCCCACAGCAAGTTTTGTTAGTCTCGTTCATGCATTTCCATGCTTTTCTGAAGAACGATGCATGTAGGCCATGCTGTCCTATTTACCCTCAGGACCCTGCCGGCCTGACGGCGGGCAGCACTGCCCTGCTCACTGGCTCCTGGCTAGTCCTTCTCTGCTTGCTTAGCAGCAGAGACATGAAGCTGAGTCACATGGCGGGGCTCAGTCCATGACATCCATATGACACAAACCCACTTCTGTCACTTTAGCAAGTTTGATCGCAGCTTGAAAACATGAACTTTAAAAATTCTTGCAGAACTCAAGATCTTGCTTGAAGATTTCTCACAGACAGGGACACTGGTTTGAGAAACACTCGTCTAGGAGATTGAGCAAATATCTGATAGCCAGGGGGCAGTTCCGTTTCCATTCTCAGAAAAGATGTAACATTTCTGGGGTTTCTGAGATAACAGCCTACTTGTTTCTCTTCCTCCACCTGGAGGAGCCCTCTGGACCATCAGTAAAGTCATGCCCTTCTTTCTGCGGGAGGGGACTTTACCGAAGACCGTCCCAACTGGGCAGCAGGATGAGGCCTCAAGAGCTCAGCTACGTGGGCAGGATGGTGCAGTTTCACCCCATACTAGGCCTGCCCTTGACTTTCCGCTTCTACTGCGCCACAAGCTCCTTGATTGCTCATTTTGTCTCAGCCTCTGTTGAATTCCCGGTGTGTGGGACCGTGCTTCACCCGTAGGAAGTGCTCAGAAAACGTTTGCTAGAAAACACATGAATATTAGTATAAGGAATACTCAGTGGTGTGAGGCACACCGGGTGGCCTGCTCCTGTCTGCTCCTAGCTTGTCGCTGTGACAGATTAGACTGTCCTTGGTGTGCCTCTGCTGTGTTCTCCTCCGCGGCCTCACGGTGTTCAGCTGGAGCAGGGTGGAAAGTTCCCCAGCTGGCACCTTCTCCCCCTCTTCCCTTTGCAGGCCCAGTCATCCTTGTGACTCAGTGGGGCTGTGACGTTTTCCTCATTCACAGGAAACCAGAGCATGCCTTTTCAGCCCATTCATAGGGCTCTCTCCAGTTAAGGCGGGCGGGAGAGAGCTCAGGCTGTTTGCTGCTTGGTTTGGTTCTGTTTTCCAGGTTTCATTGTGAGGATGAACTAAGGAGATGAAGTGTTGGACAAAGCTGTTGATTCCCCAAGGTGATACACATGGTTATTAGACCTCAGCCAAGTACTTTGGTTAAGTAACTGTCCATTTTCCTCCAAGGTGGTTTTTTTTTTTTTTTTTCTGATTTAGCTTTTTGACGCCAATGTTTATGCCTCTTATCAAAACAACCATGCAGGAGATAGTGGGCCTTCAGATGTACTATCCATAGAGCCATTGCTGGGCAAGTGTCCTTCCCGGTTCCGGCCTGAACGCTGTCAGAAAGTGCACAGCGAGGCCGGGTCAGCGGTTCCTCCTCACACGTGTGGACACTCACCGCTTCATAGTCTTTTTAAAGAACATTTTTGCTCTGGCAGCAAAGGATAGAAAAGAAAATTGGCCACAACTGAAGATTTGGCGCTTCCCATCCTGACTACTGTATTATGTTAGAAGAACACGAGGACTGAACTCTGCGTGGTGCCTGCCGACCTGCAGGGCGCGGCGCTCACCGCGTGCTGTGTGTTAGGGAATTTTTCATCACACAGGAACCCTTGCCCTCCACATCATGCCCTCCTTCTCATCATTAAGCGGTTTCTTAACTCAGAACTGGGAAATCTGAAATGCAGTGGAACTTGGTGAAAATCAAACGGAAACTAAAGGAGCCATAAGAACCAAATCTAAACGGCAGCATTGATGACTGATTTTGGCTCCGTAGCACCGTGACCGCAATGTACTGCTTAGCATTCAGAGTAACCTCACGTGTCTCATTGGCGTCCCTGTGCCAACCGAATGTAATGGCATCAGTGCCAGAGTTAATGCTGGTTTTTTCCTCATCTTGTAAAAAGGTATACAGTGTGCTCTGAAATGCTGGAAGGTACATGAGAGAGAAATAACCGGGTAAATTTTTATTGAAAGTGCATGTTTATGACAAGTTGAAACTAGTAACATGAAGGAAGATGACTCAAAAGGAAAAACACAACCGGTGTCAGCATTCTGTCTGTGATACGCTAACGGTGCTGTGTGTACATGGTGCAGGTGTGAGTGTGTATACACGAATCCTGTGTGTACATGGTGTAGGTGTGAGTGTGTATACATGCATCCTGTGTGTACATGGTGTAGGTGTGAGTGTGTATACACGCATCCTGTGTGTACATGGTGTAGGTGTGAGTGTGTATACACGCATCCTGTGTATACATGGTGTAGGTGTGAGTGTGTATACACACATCCTGTGTGTACATGGTGTAGGTGTGAGTGTGTATACACGCATCCAGGTACACACACTGGTATATGTGTGGTCTGTTCCACCAGCTGTGAACCTAAACGGTGTTTTAGTGTCTCACTTATTTAAAATCCATATGCTTTTATATTGAAGTCATAAGACTTAGGAGCCATCTGCTTGCAAAGGTAAATCCTCAGCAAAACATCACATCCCCTACCTCCCTTTTTTGGATAGCAAGGAATGAACCCTGCTTTTTAGAGGTATGGGGTGCAACCCAAAACTGCTGTTTAGGTTCAGGCTTACAAGGGCCTTAACGCCAAATGGCTTTATTGGTGGGATGGCCCTGCAGTCACTTGTGGTATTTAGGCAGCAAAATGTCAGACAATCGAATAATCTTCCCCAAAGTGTTAGAAGCAGGAGGCATGGCCACCTACGAGGTCTTTCTCTAAGCTGGGGACCCTGAGGTCCCCTTGGGGACGTGGTTCCTGGGAATCCCAGAGTGGCTACCACGTCCCGTCCAGGGCCCCAAGAACTGCCATGGTCCTTATTAAACAAGCACCAAGTTGTCATCCACAAGCCTGCTGTGTACATTCTGAGCTGCTTCTCTGTCTGAATAGGGAGAAGATCCAATTTATCAGAACGGAAGGGACCCCAGGATTGGTGCGCCTCTCGAGTGATGCAGACCTCGTGATGCTGCTGAGGTAGGTGACGCCAGAACCTTCAGTGACAGTCCCTGTGGTCAGCTGCAGGGGCGCATTAAGAAACAGTGTGTCCCTGTCAGTGTCCTTAGAGACTTAAGAAGATGCTCGTGGTGAGGACGTTGGGCCGCTCCTGTGAGCTTCATTTCCTTTTGCATTTGTTCCCCCTGCTGTGAGGGTGTGGGAGAGCCACTGTGGAGACCAATCGCATGTCCTGCTCCAAGCAGGCCGGAAGGGTGACCAAGCAAGGCGCTCACGGCTACCCCCCCCCTCCCCGTTGGTGTCGAGAGAGGTCATATTTGTATTTTCTTTCAATTCTTTTCCCAAAATGTGCTTTGGTGTCCTTTTGCTGATTCAAGACATTATTTATTTACTCTGTGGTTTTGAGAGTGTAGGCTTGGGAAAGCAGATCAGAAAGTTGAAATTTGGTTTCCTGACCTCTTCACCAACTTGACAGCCTTCTGTACAGCCAGCCAGCTGCATTTTCTTTTGTGCTGGTTCGATTGGCTTCAGTTTTCAATTTGAGAGTACTGGAGAAGGGCAACTGTCAGGTTTTCAAAAGGTTTTCTTATTTTTCATGTTATTCCTCAAATGTCAGAAGCCAAAATAAAAGAAAAATGCTGTACCCTGCCCAGCAGCTGGGGCACCGACCACTGCAGTCCCCACAGAATTAGAGGGATGTCACCCCAAGCCAGTCCGGCTCTGTGCTGTTTTTCCCCAAAGCTGCTGACCCCACTCAGGTCTCTCGTGAAGTTCTTGACCTGACCATTTCCGGTTCTCCGCTCGATAGTTACTGTGGTGCTTGTATTTTGACTGCCCACTTGATAGTCACCAAAAAGTTATTTCCCTTTAGTGTGTAGTTGAAGCCTAATTGGAACGAATGCAATTGCTGTCTGTAGGGAGTTCTATTCGCTTGGTTTTGAACAGCACCTAGAGGAGGCTGTACCGTCTTAGTCCAGGGCTCCACCACTGCGGCCGCAGGGCTGGTTCCAAAAGCACCCGGCAGCTTGTTAGGTGGCCTGCACTTACCTGAGGGTGTTCCAAGTTTGGTTGGTGATATTTTGCAATTAGTTTAAAAAACAATTCATGATTATCCTTTACCTCTCCTTACTAAGTCATTTTTAGGTGGATATTCTTAACTATTTCATTACACTAGACCTCAGTGTACTCCAACAAACACCACATTTGCCTGGAATTTCTGTGCTGTGGTTGAATTAAATATCTGAAACTCTTACAGGGAGGGCAAGGCCACACTGTCCCCTGGGTGGGGAATAAGCCTGTGTCCAAAGCTTCTTGGGTCACGGGAGAAGTAAGAGAAATTCACTCATGTATGTTTGCTTTGTGATGATTACGGACAAATGATGTTTTCAGTTCTAGGCCTTTATTTCACTTGAGTGACCAAATAACATGCAATGAAATAATGTGTTAAAAGTAACATTTAGTAATTGCTGAAAATGTGGATGGTTTGGTTGTGATCTCTAGTTTATCACTTTTATAGCGTTTTGGAATTTGAGCCATTTCAGTGGGTGACTGTAAACTAATGTTTCTGTATGACATACAAAGTAAGGGTTTGCATCTGTTTTGGAGTTTATTTGTTAAAAAGGACAATCACTCCGGCACAAGTGTGCTTTATTTATTTACTTGGGTACCAGGAATCAAACTCATGACCTTGTGTTTACCAGGCAGGCGCTGAACCAAATCCCTGGCCCACAAATATGCTTTATTGTCAGCAAACCATATTATTCATTTCGAAAGAGCCCATGTAAAGTTATTTTCTATTATAAATGTCATAATGCAAGACTGTAAATGTTCTTGTGTTTCATTTGATTATTCCATCTAAATAACTCAGTAACTCCAGCCGTGGAAAGTAAGTACTTCTCTCACATCTCAGAGCTCACTGGTAGATTTGGCCACATAAAAAATTAAATTTATATAACGCAAGATACCACATACCAGGATGGAGGGGAATAAACTGGGAGAATGATATTCACAACACAAAGCAAAGAGACCACAAATAGATGGGGCATGCCTTAAATTATTGTAAAAGAAGAGAGCCCAAAAGAAAAATGATTAAGAATGTGAAAAGATCAAAGAAATCGAGCACACAAGGCCAATAAACTCATGGAAAGATGCTAATAATCATAAGATGCAGTTTCAAATCGTGAGACACAGCTTCACACTATGAGATTAAAAATAATCCAGAAGTAGTCAGGTAGTACTAAAAGAGAATATATATATATATATATATATATATATATATATATATATATTGTCTGGTCTGCGTGGATGCAGTTTCTATAACCTCTGTGGAGTACTCACTGGTAATCTCTTCCACAGCTGAAAAGGCACAAGCATTTCCCCTAGGCAGTCCTTTTTTTTTTTTTTTTTGCTTTAAGGAGTAAACCGTGTTTACGCCAAGAAGCTTTTTTACATGTTTACGTATTGACGCAGAGGGCACATTCACTGTACCACTGATGGTGAATGCACACAGCTGTCAGAAGCGGAACAGATGAGGAAACTGATTTATGCACGGAATTACCTGCTCTCTAGCAAGCAAAAGGGGCAGACGCTGTGGGTCCTAGTTGCCCCGTGGCTATCATAACTAGGGCAGTGTTTCTGAATGAAAGAAGATATCCAGAATGCCATGCACTTACAGGGCTTTATATAACTTTAATGATACATGAGGCAAAATTGCTTATTATTTATCTCTGTACATATATACATACCTGTCTATAAATGTATACATATAAATGTATGTTACAAAATTCAAAATTAGAGAAGGAAGGTAAGTTCTATAGATGCTGGTGGAGGATGGACAGTCGGCATGAGGGGTCGGCCTTCCTGCTGGTCCTGGAAACTCCTCGCGGACTGAAACGCGTGCCTTCTCCTGTCTCCTCAGCCTGTTTGAAGAAGAGATAATGTCCTATGTGCCTCCACACGCCTTACTCCACCCCAGCTACTGTCAGTCCCCACGCGGCTCCCCTGTGTCCTCACCCCAGAACTCACCAGGTGAGTCCCCCATGGCCCTGGGGGTGCCCTGTGGGTAGGCCCTGGGCCAGTGACCCTGTCCATCATGGAGCCCAGCAGGGAGCACGGGGTGCATCTGCAGGGCTAGCGCAGCTGCCGCTGGTGGGGTGGGCACTGTCCCTTCGCAGTGGCTTCTTCCACAGGGGCGTGTTTGGACAGATGATGGGTTGACAGTAAAACTTGGTAGTGAGATTCACTCGAATACGAAATTCAATTTCAGGATGTTAGGCGGGACCAAATAGTCCTTGGAAAGTGTAAAGGTACAAATATTATGTTAGGTTGTTTTGAATGTTCAATGTTCCAGGGGAGGCAGATTGGATGGACAGTAACAAAGGTATTACTATGGAGAAATACAATGGAACTCACGTAAAGTAGACGCTAAGGCATTCGGTGGGTTGAACTTGGCTATTTATCCTGCGGGATGAACTAACTGCATTAGACTGGAAAAACAGAAGCAGATGGGTGAGCAGATAGAACACGCGTTTGTAAGTCTGACTTTTTCAAAAGAGGTAAATGGGAATTAAGGATGGATGGGGTAATGGATGGGGTGAGTGAAGGGTAAATGAAGAAATGGAAGAACATGAAGCTTAGCAAATGTTAGAAAGGGCTGATGTTGACAGAGCATCAGATATGGTACTTTTGTTGATGGGCAACAAACTGTTCACAGTTTAACAGCTACCAGGCTTTAAGGCCGTTTCAGCAGAGAGCTTGGATGTGCCCCTGGAAGCTGCCATGTGCTTTTCAGTGTGTACTGTGTGTTCACACGCTGCTGCGATCACAGCACTGCACCCTAGTTGCACACCCAAACAAGAAGAGCTCTGTTAGCTTGCTCACGGAGCCCAGGTTTACTGGGCTTCCGCCCGTCGCCAAGCACTGACCCTGCCCTGTGCTGGAGATGAGTAACACCATCTCTGCCTTGCACGCGCTCATGGCCAGGCAGTGAGTTGGCCACGGCTCTGTGGAGCTCTGTGGTTTGTCCCGTGGTGCTCAGAGCTCTGGGAACACAGATGTAGAAACAGTTCTTCCTTCAGGCCGAGCTGGGGTGTTTGGGAGGCTGTCACCTTAGTGCTGTGCTGCTTTTGATAAAAGGCTGAGATTAGAGAGGTGGAGGAAGAGACCAGGGAATGAATTCAGGGAATGCCCAGGATGCAGGTGCTCAGGATGTAAGCCCAGGTGGGCTAGGAAGGAGGCAGATCCGTGAGCTGCATGATGAGGCAGATGTTAGCACCATTTACCTAGAGAAAGGATGGTCGGCTTAGAAGAAAAGGGTGGAGGGACTGGTTTTGTGCCTGCATGGGTGAGAAAGCTTTGGCCTGACTAGTGGACATACCCGAAGACACCTGGGAAGACAGGAGACGATTGCAGCTAAGGATTCAGTGCACAGTGGACAGTGAAGCCCAGGGGACCAGACGGTGAAAGGATGCAGAGGGGGAGGATGTGAGGAGCCCCGGGGCTGAAGGAGTGGGCAGAGGTGAGCTGTGGATCCCAGGAGCCAGATTCCAGGGAGGTGTGGCTCTCAGGTCCAGGAAGGATGGAGTCGGAACAGAGGCTTGGAAACTGGAGTCCTAAGTCAGCTTTGCCGACACAGGGCCAGTGGATGAACTCACAGGTTGTACACTGCAGGAGGGTGATGACCAGCCACACAGCCGTGGAGTGGAGGGTTGGAGCCAGGCACGCAGATCACTCTTGGCACGCAGTGTGGAGTGGAAGTGGCAGCAGCACTGGACAGTGGGGACGGGGAAGCGTGGGGGTGGACGTTAGGGCGGGGAGCTGAGCGTGCCTTGGTGGAAGCCACGGAGTGGCCCCCTCCCTCCATCTTTAGTCCCCTTCCCATTTGCAAAAGATCTACCCTGCTTCCTCCTGGTCTGTCTTCCATGGTCTTGTTTGTGTTTGGGTTTCCATGTAAGAGGCCCCGTGTGATATTACAGCTCACGTGCCTGATTTATCTCACTTAGCATTGTGCTCTCGGGTGCTTCCAATTTCCTACAGATGACTCCAGCTTGTCCTTCTTTATGGCAGAGTAGTACTCTACTGTGTGTAAATACTGGTTTCAAAATCCACTCTGACATAAGGGCTGCATCCACAATTTAGCTATTAGGGTTGTGCTGCTCTAAACACGGGTCAGTTGTGTCATGGTGATACCATGTCTGTAACCCTCTTGGGAAGATGCCCAGAACGGGGAATGGAACCATGTGGGGAATTGCTCAGGACAGCCACGATTGTCCTTTGCAAGCCTTTCTTGAGGCCCATCCTCCCAGAGAAAGCGGGAGGTCGCCTCCTGGTTCTGCCTCCTCCAGGCCTACAAAAGCCCTGCTCTTGAAGCCTGGCTGGAAATGGGTGTTTGTTTGTTTTTTGTCTTTCTGAGACAAGGCCTCGCTGTGCTGTTCGGGCTGGCCTTGAGCTCATATTATAGCCCAGGTTGGTCTCAAACTCCCATGTGCTGGGATTATAGGCATGTGCCACCACACCCAGCAGCTGGCTGGACACGTTGGAAATCATGCGAACACCCTAACTGCTGACTGAATTCCCATCTTCGTTTAGGGTCCCAAGTGCACACGAGTCCTCTGCAGTGGTAATAAGATGCTTTTGGGAACCTAGATTGAGCGTTAAACATTTTCCAAAGTCATGCGTAATCCCAGAAGGTGTAAGTTGCAACCATGTGGGGGGGGGGGTCTTTTCAGGAGGAATCACTCCTGATTTCTGGCCCAGCTGGAAATTAGCACATGCTGCCTGCTAACAGTGGGCTCAACTGCAGGCCACACCTGGGATAAAGGCCAGGACTCCTCGCCTCCTTTTGCCTGTGGAGGGACCTTCTCTTTCTTTAACTAAACCAGCTTCCTGGTCTACCAGTATTCCTGGGGGTCTTGTCCAAGCAACATGTCAAACAAGTCTGATCCTTTTTCTTGTGACTGCAGTGTCACCCTTTGTAGTGGTGCGACAATGACCCTGTGAAGCTGTGACAGTACTGAATGGAACGGTCTCCGTTCTGAGTGCTGAGGAACCTGGTCCTCTCCTCCACGCTCTCTGCCATTCCAAACACTTGCACACGTCTTTTGGGTACAGAAGAGAGACAGGCTTTGGAAACTCTGACCACACTGCTTTTTGCAGCTGCTAACGTGCTCACCTAAAATTTGTCAGAATTCTGAAATGTGAAGATTAGTTTTTCTAGCACCATTATCCTGCCAACCCCAATCTCAGCGATGCCACCTGGTTCACTGTGCCAAAGAGGGGGCTCGAATGTTTATTTAAGCTGCACATTTCTAGGAATTTAAATTCAATAACACCTAATTTGTCTAATATTTTTGGAGATTGAGGTCTTATATGAATTTTCCAGGTAACCAGAGCTGTGATTTTCACCACATAAGAATTTGTTTAACCAACTGTTTGCTGAAACTCTGTAAATACATCCGGTTTCTCTTTGCTTTATGGACACAGCATTGAGGATGTTCTGTGATTTGGGGGAATTGCTGTGCTGATGGATTGGGTGCAGAACTGGGGATGCTTGACTAGAACTGGACCCGCTGGAAGCTGGGACCAGCACCGCATCCCAGGAAGCAGAGGTTAGAAGGGGACAGAAGCCACGAGGGTCCTTTTGGAAGATCTGTGCACGGAAGTGTTGCTTGTGGCACAGAGCGGGCCTCCTTGCCCGGGATCTTCCTGCCTGTCTCTCCACCCAGTCCTTGCATACTATGGACTACATCTCCGACTCCTCACCCTGTTCTGTCTTTTCTGTGCCCCGTCCCTCATGCTCTCCCTCTCCTCCCAGCTCTCTCCAGACAGAAGTTTCAGTTTTGGTCATTTGTCTCCATCCTCCCCACTGGCGCTGTTGGGATACCAGCTACTGGGGAACTTTCCAGGGTTCCTTCTTCACCAAGGCCAGAGAAATTGGCACATCCAGTTTTTTCCAGTAAATCGTGTGTTCGTGAACATGTGAATATGCGCACACTTGAGAAATAACCCGGGGCCCTTCCGGTGCTCTCAGAGAGTAACGCAAACTCACGCTCACACTTTCTGCCAGCTGTTTTAATTTAAGAATGCGAGGTTTTTTCAGCTTTATGCCCTGAAATCCAGTGCTGAGCTGCATTTCATAAAGCAGAGCATCCCAGAAAAATCATAGTAATGCTCAATGATTTGTTCTTAAACATTAATAGGGAACTAAAAGAAAGAAAAAATTATGCACAGGGGTGTGTGTGTGTGTGTGTGTGTGCACACGCTTGAAAGGAACCCAGAAAAACTGGGCTTCCGGGCCAAGGTTTTCCTGTTGTCTTCGGACACGGAGTTCTTCCGCTTGGATATGATGCACTTTGGGAACAGAACACTGCTCTGTGGAAGTGCTTTTGGGCTACCTGGCAATGACAGAGAGAGAAAGCCCAGTATCTACCACTGAAGGGTTTTTCCTGGCAACGATTAGTATAACGTCCACCACCCGGGAGGTCAGCTCGTAACGAGACCCTGACAGGTAGCACTGACCTCTGGGCAGCTGACGTCTTTCATGAGACTGTGAAGAGCCTCAGAGTGCCCTCTCTGTAACAGTGTGGAAGCCTAGCACTTCCCTTGAAGCATGGTCCCCTGCAGTTCTAACGCTCGGTCTTCTGAGGTCACCTTTGGTCTCGAGTGGAAATGCCATCGCCTTCCCTGGGTGTTGGCAGCAGCATGTGACTTGTATTAAGAATCTGACTAGAAGTCCCGCTGGAGCAGCCGCTCTTCTAAGTGTCTCCCCGAAAGAGTTGAAGACATCAGATTACCGTGACCCTTGTGCACCCCTGTTCATAGCAGCACAGTTGTTATGAGCGCAGTCTGGGAAGCAGCCCAAATGTCCATCAGCAGCTGAGGGGGTTTACACACCATGGAATACCACTCAGCCATACAGAAGGATAAACCTAAGTCATGCGTAGGTGAACCGATGCACTTTGAGCCTGTAGTGCCAAGCAAAATAATCAGACCCACAAGTTTAAGTACCGCATAGTTCCTGTAATAGGAGAAACTCACAGTAAAAGTAAAGAGCTAAATAAAAAGTAGATACTAGGAAGTAGGGAGACAGGTCTTTCTCAAATGGGAAGGGGACCAAGAGACAGAGGCAGAAGAGGAGGGAAGGGGTCGTGTGTGTGTGCCAGCTCTAACAGTGAGTAACTCCTTCTGTACCGCAGACATGGACTGAGAAAAAAATGAAAGGACAAATTCGTTGGGGGCTGTGGTTGTTGATGAATTTGTGACCGCAGAATCAGCATGAAGCCTTGGTGTTGGAGCCCGTGTGTCTCCGGAGCCCTTACCCAGATTGGAGGGGTACGGGGCTTGTTTTCCTTGTGTACAGTGATCCAATCGCTACAGCATTTCCCATACCTCTCCAGCAATGCATACCTTACCACTCTACTCCGTGCTGCTCCTTGAAGTCACCAGCTGTCAAAGAGTCGTGTTTCTGTTGAATCTTAAAAGATTTCCATTCAGTCCTCTCTTCTTCCCATCCACCTTCTGGGTCACCGTCGTGCACTCTGCACTACACGGTAGAGGTCTGCAATTCCTGTGCCATCCCCGCATGGGCTTGCACTGCCATGCACTGTCCAGGGGGGACGGCAGCCTGGAGCTGCCGGGGGTCACCACCTTGTAGTGCAAATGGATAGACAGGAAGTCTTGTCCCATCAGCGTCCTGGACGCTGCCCACCAGTTTGGGTTCCTTGGTTCCATTTGATCTTTCTTCCTGGGAGGGAACAGAGGTTCTCAGCCACAGCTGCCCACTGGAATCCCCTGGGAAGCTGTAGAGGGTGCTTCTGCCGGGCGCCCGCAGATGCTGGTGGATGTGTGACTTCAAGCGCCACTGCCCAGGCGTCTCCTCTGCTTCCCAGCCCCTTTAGGCTGAGTTTATTATTTTTCTTTATACCGTAACTCTCAACTCTTTGATTAAAATACTCATAACTGCCTGGGTGTGGTGATACACACCTAGAATCCCAGCACACGGGGAGGCTGCAGTGGGAGGACCTCGAGTTCCAGCTCATCCTGGGCAACTTAATCACTTAGACCCCGACTCAAACTTTTAAAAAAGGGAGCTTGGATGTAGCTTAGTGCAGCAGTGCTGGATTTGATCTGTAGTTCTACACACACACACACACACACACACACACACACACACACACAGCTCTACAAACAGACTGGGTAAATTGTTGGTCTGTAGCCAGTTTTGTAAAGATCCATCCCCAAACCCCAGCCCAGTTCCCCGCATGTGTAGAGTGCGACTCTGCGCAGGTAACCCCGCTCTGCAGGGCTGTTCATGCTGCAGACCTAAGTGCTCGGTGCCCCCGGCTCTGAGCTTCTGCAATGGCACCTGCCCCCCACCCCCGCCTTCTCATCAGACAGACCTGGCTCAGGTCCCGAACCTGCTGTCACTGCCAAGCGACTGGGATGGGACACAGCATCTTCCTTTTCTTGGGTACAGAGAGATGATGATGATGATGGTGACAGCAGCCTCTTCCAGAGGTTTGGTGAGGATTTCTCGAGATTCCCCTATGCAAAGTGTATGGTCTCTCCTGTGCAGCAAGCACTTATCCAGTGATAGGGCCTTTACCGTTGCTGAGCTGTGTCATCCTCAGGGTCCCCTCCTCCCTTCCGTACTTGGCTCTCTGGCCCCTTGGGGGTCCCCCTGGGCGTGACCCTCTGAGCCACCACACTCCTGGCAAAGTTGTGTCCTCACAGGCCCTCAGTTGCTGCAGCCGCTCTTACCTGTGCTTCCACCCTCCTGTCTCTCCGTCCCTGTTTCTTGCCCTCCTTCTGCCCAGCATGTTCTGAAAGTGATTTCTCCAGTGCACACAGCTGTGTGCTGCTTCCTTGTGCAGGAAGCCACCTCTGTTCTCCGCTCATGTGCAAGCTAGCTGGTTCTTTCAAATTCTCTCTACTTTGGCCCCAGTCCTACAATTTCTCCCATGTTAGTGGGGCCTCCTCGGGCTCCTGTGAACACACAGAGGGGGCCTAACCCCAGCTCCTGCAGTCCACCCAGTGGACAAAACCCTCTCGCGTCCACACCCTTTGCTTCTGAAGGCTCTCTCTTCAGTCCTCTCTGTCTTCTCATCCACCCATCTGTCTTGCCATCCACCTGTGACACGCACTTCTTTCTGGCCCCTTTCTGTATCAGCAGAGTTCAGTGCAAATACCTAGGAAGCACAGCCCCGTTGCCCGTGTCTCCCCAGGGAAACGGTTCACAAATAATTTGCAAGAGAAAAAAAGTTGCAACTTGACATTTTAACTTGACATACAGTGTAACTGGTAGATGTTGGCAATTACTTTAAATTTTTCTTAAACATACAGGGTAGACAAATTAGATCTTGAGGAGACTGGGTGTAGCCCCAGGGCTGTATTTTGTCTCCCCCTGCTTTATAGTTTGTATATCAGCTTGTTTAGCATTTAATTCTTCTCTAATTGTTTAGCATTTATTTCTGTCTCCCCAGCCAAAACGCCCTGGACAGCAACTCCACCTGCTTCACCGTGGGCGCTGCTGTTGAACCCGACACAGTAGCAGTGATGAATAATAACCATGATGCAATCATTTGTGAAATAACTTTTTAAAGTATTTGTGTGATGCTTAATGAGCAAGATCCCACAGTGTGTTTTCTGGTTGTTTTCATTCCATTGAGAAATATTTAGTGGAAGCTCTGGTCGCTTTTGTTGTGCCTCTGGGTCCCATTCCCAAATTCATCATCAGTTTAATATCCCAGTTTGCTGCTTGGCCACGTGTGACACAAAGCCAGATTGTTCTGTGAGACAGGAAGAAACCAGCTCACTTTTACATTTTATTAATAACACTTGGCTCCGGAGTGACATAAGCATCTTTAGATTCTGTCACTGATGCATTAAGACTGTGATCAATGTTAGTGCTGCTTTTCGTGTAAGCAGGTGACAGATGCTGCTGCAATCACATTTGCATTCTGTTTTTGTATTTGAATTATTTGACTGAAATTGTTGGGGTGCATCCCCGTGTGCTGGAATCGTTCTTAGAGCGCCTCTGGAGACGCAATCGGGATGGGGCTGTGGGGTGAGGAGTTTAGGGTGCATGGCACAAGCTCACTCTCCTCGCCCCTGTACTTTCCAGCACAAGCAGAGGGATTTCAGGAGGCCCTGTTACCAGGCGCGTGAGTAACTCCTTGGCTCAGCCCCGCCTGGTGGGACTGAAAAGGGAACCCAGTCCAGAAACACGGCTTGTCCTTGTAACCATTCAAACAAGATCTTTATTCTCAGCCAAACAGCAACCAAGGAGAGCTCTCCTGAGACCCTGGTTGAGCTTTTCTGCAGGCTTCCACTTGCAGAAGGGAAACGCAGAGGCGAGAGTATTGTCCGGTTTCCTTGCTGGCCGGGTGTTGTTTCTCGTGGTAACGTGGTAAACGTGTCCTCTCCTCGTCCTCCACTGCAGGTACTCAGCGTGCCAACGCCCGGGCCCCGGCCCCTTACAAGCGGGACTTTGAAGCCAAACTAAGAAACTTCTACAGGAAGCTAGAGACTAAAGGATATGGGCAAGGCCCAGGGAAATTAAAGTAAGTCAACAGCGATACAGACCACGTGACTCGTGATGATGAGGCTGGTCGTTTAGGAAATCACTTACGATTCGGGACCACAGGCCTTCGTTTTAGTGGGTGAAATTCTTTAGGCACTTGTCAGTGAGCGGATCATGTAAAGCACAGTTCTGGAATCAGTGACACAAAGGCTGATTTATGGTCCTGTCCTGAAGGCAGCCCTCTCCGGGTTTGCGGGGCGGTGCTCAGATATAAAGGAACAGCCATCAGTGGTGCTGTCTGCCATCCCTTAGCCCACAGAGCGAGTCAGGAGTGTTGCTTCTGCCCGTCTCATCCACCTCCCTTGCAAGGGGATCACGCTTTTCGGCCTAGGTTTGTTTGCATCCCCTGCTCCTCTCCTCTCCTCTCCTCCCTGTCCCTCCCGTGTCCCACGGAAGCTCATTCTGCCACCTCCCAGAGCAAGGAGGGTCAGACCCAGAAAGCCAGTGCACCTGGGCCCAGCCCCTCACCTGTCCATCATCAGGGTCCATGGAATGGACTCTTAATCATCACTGTCATCAGCCAATCATGTGGCCCAAAGCATCCTTCATTTCTGTCTCTCCTTTAGAGAATCTCAAGGTCATTTAGGATTAAACTGAGCATCATTGTGCACTTTTTTTGTTTGTTCTTTTGCTTTGTTTTGTTTGGTTTTTGCTTTAGAGAATGCGGGCTTTTCTCCTGTCTCTTTCTCCTGGTTCTCAGATTCTCCTAGGCACTTAGTCATTGAAACCCTCCTCGTCTAGGTGCACTCAGGATTAAAGCATTATGTCATAGGGTTGTTATCCCTTCAGTAAACAGAAGTTATGCGTGCGCGTGTGTGTGTGTGTGTGTGTGTGTGTGTGTGTGTCTGTGTGTGGTTTTATGATCTTGCCTTCTGGGATAATTGATTTGGCCGCCCGGAAAGCGCTGGGGTGTTCCTCAGGGTGGGGTGCTCTGTTTACCTGGGACTCTGTTACGTAACTTTTGCTAATGCTGTTGAGAGTTGAAGACCAATGTGTACTTCACTGCAGACAGCATGGATGTGAAGTGACTTCACTTCTCACCCCATTAATTGTGGTAAACAGAAATTAAATGGCAGGTGCCCAAGTTCTAGAGAGATAAAGATCACAAAATAACCTGTATTTTTCAAATTGTCTCTTTATGGCTAGATTAATTATCCGAAGAGATCACTTGCTGGAAGATGCTTTTAATCAGATCATGGGCTACTCCAGAAAAGACCTGCAGAGGAATAAGCTGTATGTCACCTTCGTCGGGGAGGAAGGGTGAGTAGAACAGAGAAGTGGCAGGGACGGGGCTGCGGCCAGGGCGGATGTTTCCCCACGTCGCTGCGGTCGCCTGAACAGGAAATCCCTCCGGCAGGAAGTGCTGTTCTCATAAGCTTGACCACGTTGGCTTTTTTTTCTTGGTAAGGCTTCCTCTGGCTTTTAGATCATGTGACCTTGAGATTCATGGGTTAAAACTTGTAACAAAAATCATTTTTGGAGGACAGAAGTCTCATTAGATTTTTTTCTGTCTGCCTTTCTCTAAAAGGAAGAAAGTGGGGCCTCAAGGGGCAAAATCAAAGGAACTGAGTTTGGACATCTGGGATCTCCTGTGTAGAATCTGGGTCACCCGTTAGAGAAGTCTCCTTTCAGAAACCGCTTAGGACCCCGCTGTGTTGTCCTGGAGGTGTCTGCCGCGGTGACCTGGGCAGCGGCCCTTGCTTCTGCACCCCGTGTTTCTGTTTCCTGGGGAGGCAGCACAGGTGCCAAGGGGACAGCTAGCACCCGAGGTCCCTCCCAGCTGCCCTTGGTGACTCTGTGCTGAGTGTGCGCATCCGGAAGTGTTGAGAAACGCAGGGGCCGAGGCTCCCACACAGCGTCCCAGGCAGACAGCGAGGCTGGCGTGGGTCACCTCACTGATCACTCTGTCCCTCTAGTGCCTCCCTCTTCCCCAGGGTTGTCCCACTGCTTTCTTTGTCACCTGCAGCTGCGACACAGAAGTTAAAAAATACCTTGGGAGTAGCCTGAGCGCTGCCTGTGCTCTCTCTGACTTTGTTGCTCGGGGTCCTTGGAGGGCCACCTCCCAGGCGTGTCCAGGAATAAAGATGAGCGAATCCCCGTCATTACTTCTGACCGGCAGAACAGTTCAGCGTGCGGCTGATGACGTGGAGGCCTTAAAGTATAAAGTAACTTGCGATGCTAATGGAACTAGGGAAGCGCAAATCAGGACTCAGCTCCAAGCCTTTTGCCTTTTCATCCAGTGCTCTTGGGCCAGGTCTGGGAAGGAAGCTGAAATCCTGAGTTGTGGTCTCTCTTTTGTCCCTCTGGACCATTTTTCCATCCCAACAAATGACTGATAACTGTCTCCTAGCCATGAGTAAAGTAAAATATTTGTGAAGTGACAGGGTTTGGGCGGGAGCCTGCCGGATGCCTGAGCCTTTCATCCTAATGTACATAAATGGACTTGCAGCTGTTATGAGCTGAAAGATGCAGGTGCACCATGGGAAAGTAAGGCAGGGGTTGCTAGCCCTGCACAGGTGTACACGGGACTCAGGTGTTTCCTTACAGGACCAGTCTGGGTGGCTGAGGATTCTTCCCTCTCCCCAGCTGCCTCCTTCATTGTTGGGACATGGAGCATTTTGAGCTTGCTTTCTTGTACATTACATTTTGGAAAGAAGGTCTTGTTACATTGGCCTTGGATGGCCTTGTACTCCCGGGCTCAGGGGTCCTCCTACCTCAACCTCCACAGGAACTGAAACCCAGGCATGCATGATCTCGCCCAGCCCAGTTGGTTGGGATCTCAGAGGCAGAGGAAAAAGTCCCGGAGTGCCGATACCTACTTTCCGAGTAGGACAGGTGGTTAGTAGGCATGGCCATCCCAGTGCCGTGTCCCATGTCTGGACTGAGGACATCACTTCCCAGGAAAGGTCTGGGCTGAGTGGAGCTGGTTCCCCTGTTTTGATTCCCTCCGATACCCAGAACGCTTGGTGTTCTTCAGCTGTACTTCCTGGGGCCCCAGGGCAAACAAAGGAGAGGATGCTTTAGGTATGACCTTGGTTATCAGGAGCCATCTCTCACTCTGGTCCCTCTGTGGGTGACTTACTGATGCTGGATTTCTTGGCTCTTGGCTTCATCATTCCAGCATGATATAGATGGATTAGTAGATACTGACATTATTTTGCTGTTGAGGTGTGAGAATACATTTACTGCTTAGAAGATCACAACAGCACTCTTGCTGAAAAATAGGAACCTTAGCACTGCACACAATTAAGAGGATCTTGGAGCCTTTCCACTTTTTCAAGCACTTTGATTCCATCATGCGAAGTGATCATAACATTGCTTTCTGGATTATAATAACTATCCAAAGTAAAAAGCTACCCAGGTCTTTTCATTGAACTACAAAAACAGAAGTTCTGTTACTTTTATTTCCACCAACTTTAATGCCCACAGATTGTGTCATTTTGTAAGTTCTTTGTGTCTAGGTCTAGGAGTTCGGTATTTAAAAACATAGGTATCTGGTGCTCAAGTCTCGGTTTCTAATGAATGAGAAGCTCCGAGGAAGGAGAGATGGCTGATTCTGGGACTAGGGCAGGGAAGAAACAGGTAGCCTGAGACACCTTGTAGCAAGTGCTAGAGAGTTCAGAGGCTCTCCCAAAACCTAGAGTGAGGGAGGCTGTGGGAGGCTCAGAGGAGCCAACCGAAGAGCTCCCGATGGCCAGAGCGGGGGTCCTCTGAGCAGCAAAACAAATAAATAAAGAGTATTGTGTGTTAAAGTGTAAAGTACATATCTATATTGATTAAGCACATGAGTGAATGCATAAATAAATAAATAAATGAAAAAGCCTTAACATCTCTTGTGGAGAAGAGTTCCAGAGAACTCCTACTCCCGCATCCTGTGTGCAGCTTGTGCATTGTGACTTTCTTCCAGATAGTACCGTGTGTGGAACGGGGAGAAAAGAAGGGAGCTGCCAGTAGAGAAAGCTGGCCAGTGCTGTCACGGTCAGGCAGCCCAGGTCAGCATCAATAGTCTGAGTCCTGTAGGTAGAATATACCCTTTACCTTCCGGATGAAAACACCTGGAACCCCTGTGTGTCCTCCCCCTGCCCATCACCTCAGTCCAGCCATGAAAACATCAGGTAAGTCCCATCCGGTCCTGTGGAGCTACCTTTCCAGTACTCTTCAAGCCATCAAGGGCATCAAGTCAGAGGCGTCTGGAAGAGACATGACAGATACATAGAATGTCCTGGGTGGACTGTGGGACAGAAAAGGGCCATGAGCTGAAGGTGAAGGAAGTCTGGGTATAGCATGCATTTTCATTAGTAATAACGGATCAATACTGGCTCACTAATTGTGTTACCATGTTCTCCCACTGTGCCATGTGCAGTTATCAAATTTTATAAAGGTTTAGTCAGGAGAGGACTAAACAGGAGAAGGCTGAGGCCCGGCTCTCAGATCCACCTCCATAGGGTGTCTGTGGGACCCAGAAGCAGGATGGTCTGAAGGGAGCAGAGAGGTCATTGCAGGCAGGGAAAGGCTGACCTAGTGATCTGTCTGTGAGTGTGTGGTCCAGCTCCGTGAGCCATGGTCAGAAAATGGCATAAGCGCACTCCGAGGGTGGGGTTGTGGCCCTCTGACCTCACAGGTTACCCATGGGCACTTGCACGTGTCCAGTGCAGGGACAGTGTGAGAGAGACGGGAGTGGCCTCCAGATTCCTAAAAAACAATGCAGGCAATGGTACCTGCCTGCCTGGGTGGTGTGACCTGCAGCAAAGCTAATGTGAGTGCATCCTGCAACTACCTACTTCTAAAGCTGGGAACAAAAGTGAGTCTCTAAAAGTGAAGCTAGAGGGTTTATCCCAGATTTTCATCTGTAACAAAAGGTCTAAGGTGAGGAATTAACAAAGGGGAAACTGAGTCAGGGTGTGCAAGAACTTCCTGTACTATCTTTGCAGCTTTTCTGTAAATCAAAACTACCCTAAAGTAGTTTATTAAAATAAAATGTATCTTAAAACAGGAAGATGTAGGGAATGTTTCCCTGAGGGATATCTCTTACTGTCCAGGGACTTCCTCTGGATTACTTTTGGTTGTGTATAAACCTTGGTCATCACAGGAAAGGAGCGTAATAAGCTCCTAGAGTTAATTCTGTGCAAAATACAAACCAGTAGGTGTATTGATGTATAGAATATTATCTTGTGTCAACTTTCTATGAGGGATTAATACTTTAAAAATTTTACTGACACCGTCTCAATGACAGATTTTCTGTCGTCACACTCTGGGTCTTTTTTTTACAGTAAATTAGCTGAAGCATAGGGAAAAGGGGATTTACTCTGATGAAGGATACATTGATTTGCATTCCAGAACAGTGTGAGTTTGCAGATTCAGAGAGACTGCAGCTCCGATTAAGCATATATCTGAATCATGACATGTAGACTGTTCCTAAAATAAAAAGGGTCATGTGTTGGGAGACTTTAGTCGGAAATTTACAGGGTGGCCACAGGTTAATATTGGAGACGCCTCTCTTCAGTTATAGAAATACGAAACTAATCTGGGAGTCCACGAACGCAAAGGTGTAGTTTTAGGGGACGGCTATTATTTCTCACTAAAATCATATTTTGTGTCATGCTTGGCATTGTACAAAGGGCACATGGTTTTTACACACTATCTTGTGATCAGTGGTTCAGTTTGGTTAGAGCTGGGAGTTTTGTCTTAGAGGTGAAGTCATTAAAATTTCCACCCCAGTTCAGCTGGTTATCTAGCCTTGCACCGCGGGGTGGGGTGAGGCGGGGTGAGGTGGGGTGAGGTGGGGTGAGGTGGGGTGAGGTGGGGTGAGGTGGGGCAGTGGTAAAATAGCTGGAAACAGTCATGGAGGTCAAATGTTGGGAGAAACGGCACCAAATGCTGGCCTAGTCCTGCTGGGCTTCAGTCTCACTGAAAGCTGCTTCTCTAGGGGAAGGAACAATAAAATACTATGCGTTTCTCTTTGTTATTATTCATGTGGATTTTAAGCCCTGGCAGTGAAAGTTTGAGCCATGTCAAGTTAGCCAGGCCGACTCCTGAGCTCTGGAAAGGGATCTGGGATCATTAACTTAGTTTCAGAACCATAAAGAAGTAATAGCCTGGCTCAGGGAAGGAAGGCCTTACGTGGTCCTGCCCTCTCTTCTCCATGGCCTGCCCTGTAGAAGGGTCCTTTAGTTAAGGACGCGGTCTCATCAGTGTGCCGTCAGCCATGTGAGCGGAGCGGGGAGAGGTGTGCAGACAGTTTTGGGTGGGAGCTTACAGACCTTCCTTATCATCCCCCCGTCAGCTCTCTCTGCAGTCTCCAGAGCGAGGCAGAGGAAAGCAACCCGGGCCGAGGCCCAAAGCAGTCTGCCTCTTCCTGGCTGCTAGCAGAACCAGCAGCCTTCTTTCCTGTGTGACTGCGGGTGGCTTCTCTAGAAGTTGTGTTGTCCCGAGCTTGTCCATTGATTCCTCAGAAATCTGCAAAGCTTCGCATTAAACCCACGAGGCTGCTTGTTTTCTAGCAAAAAGAGATGTTTGGCTCTGTGGAAGGAGAGTGCTTCTGGTTGTAGGCTGTGGTGGAAGCGCCAGGTGCCGCTCTGTTTATGGTATCAGGATTGCTCACACCCTTCCTGGCCTCCCCAGTGCCTGGCAAGAACACCTGCTGCTATAAAGCTTGCAGGTGAACTTAAAGGAGCCAGGCAGCGTGGGCCCGCACCAGCCTGCAGGGACCACCACTGTGCCTTCCCGCACTCTCTCCCTGCACTCCGGGCCTCTTCCCATGGGTCCTTTGCTTTCAGCCATTCGTAGTTGAAAGTAAGGAACAGGAGAGTAAAAATTCATTCACTCTCTTAACAAATATTCGGTGCTGCTGACGGCTTGGGGCGGGCCGGGGTGCCAGCCCAGCAGTGTGCCTGTTTGCAGTGCTCAGTCTGCACTTGAGGCTCACAATGACTGTTGCCCTGCGGTGGCCTGCGGGTCCACAGAGCTGCACGCCCTCCGCACAGCTGTCCTGTGGCTACACCCGCTGCCCAGAGTCTCGGCCTTTCCGCCCCAAGCCTCTACTGTGGAACCAACCGAACTGGCAAAACAGGAATGAAACAAACGATCCCTGTGATATGACTCACATTAACTATTTCTATGGAAGTGGTTGCCGAGACAGGATACGGGTGCCCTGCTGTGACATGTTTTATTAAATCTACTGGACCTGTGATACAGACGTCGGAATCGTAACTGTGATAGCCCTGCGCTCTCCCATCGCGGTCCTGAATTCCAGCTCATAATGGAATCAGCCTGAAGACTGCCTGGACTCTAGAACAACTCTTTTCATGCGTCTGGAGTTAAACATAGCCGATGCAAACCTGACCAGTGTAGGATCGGTTTCCTCCTGCAGCAGGTTTGCTTTGACCTCTCTTGCCAGGAGAGTTTATTTGGTTTAACCTCTCCTCGGGGAAGATGTGTCTTATCGTCAGTCACATTTGTTCACCATCATAGAGAAAGAACCAGGCGGTGAGGCCCTTGTTGTTTTGACAAAGCAGACCTCTTCAGAAGACTCTGCACAGCAGGCTTCCTAAACGTAATTCTCCTGTGCCATTGCTGATTGTCTTCAATTTGAGCCGTCTCTCAGCCATGAGCAGGGCCCATTTATGTTGTCGAGCTAATGTACGGCCTCAAAGCAAACTTGGTCCAATTTGTTTGCTCTGCTGGATGCCAAGCAGCCACACAAACAAGGCTGTCCTCTGTAGCACGTCAGCCTTGCATCTGACTCAGCACAGGTATTGAGCCCCCGATGTGCATCCAGCCAGGGCCCAGGGCTGGAACGTGAGTGAGGCCAGTCCTGTTCTCCCCTGGTCCTGGGCACCCGGGCAGGCACACAAGGGGATCACAGTCAGGTACTCCGCGCAGTGGGATTTGAACCCTCAGAGACTAAACCCAGAGAAAGCCTGACTTTTTAAACCCAAAGCCTCGGTTAAACCCGTTTGACTTACACCGGTTGTCTGTAAGAAAACCACCACATCTTTCAGTGGCTGAGTCCCCGAAGCACAGCGGCTTTGGGTGCCTCTGCAAAGTCCCCGTCCGGCAGCAGACAGATACACACCAAGGGGCCTGGGCCTGGGAGCTGCGGCCACCCTGTGAGGTTGCTACCCCCAGGGAGCTGTGTCCACTGCATATTTCCTGGCAGGTGAAGGCGCTTCACTGAGGATTTGTAGAGAGCTGGACTGTTTAATAAAGTCGCATTCCCCGCTCTTTTCTTTTAATCTCTTTATTAGTGTGTGTTTGCAGTCCACCCGTCGTGGGTTGGTTGTGGGGTGTGGGTCCACACAATCCCTGCCTGACCCTCCTCCTCCCCTCCCACCGCTCGCACCCAGCACTTGGCAGCATCTTTGTGTAACCCTTCCAGGCTCTGCCCGTCTGACACTCACTGAGGTGCCCTCCACCTCTGCCACCCTGGCAGGAAAACAGGCAGTGATAGCACATGACATGGCCAGCTGTGCCCCAGTAAAATCCTATTTACCAACCAGGGGGCAGGGCATGTTGGTCCACAGGCCAGAGTTTGCCAGCTGGGCTGTGTGAGCAGTGTGGTTTTTGCCTTGACAAACATTTAAAATTTCCTGAGGGACAGGCTGGGAGGAGCTGAAGACGGGACAGTGGGGGGTCAGGAGTCTCTGTGGATTCGCTGAGTGATTCGCATAAAGAGCCTCGGCCTCTTGTGTGAACAGAGGGACCGGCCAGTCCAGCTTCTGAGAGCCACTGGCCATGGCCATTCTTGGTCTGCAGGAGGACTGGGTGATGCGTAGCAGGGAGAGACACGCAGCCCCATGCCCGCCTGTGCTGGTCTGTCTCTAGTGAAGTTCTGCAGCCGGGACGAGGAGTCCAGAGTGGAAGCAGCGCAAATCAAAGGTCTGGGCCCTGAGCTCAAGACAGGCTCATTATGAGTCGCTGGAGTAAAGTGACTTCCCCACACACCAGGGAATTTAACCTGCGAGGGCGGAGGAAAGCGGGCAGGACTCTGCAAGCTCTGCTCTAGGCCCTGTGCTGACGAGGCCACATGCCCGGGGCTGGGTCAGCCTTAGATCCCCCAGGATGGCCCGGGGGGCCAGCCCCTGCCCTGAGAGGAGACCAGGAGTAGGGTTGTACACAGCGCTAAATTCAGAATTGCTCTGGAAAGTGGCTGTTGGCAAACTGTCCTGTCTTGAAGCTCTAGCGTCATGCCTGATACAGAATTGGCACTCAGGTGTTTGCTGGAAGAAAGATTCTGAGCATGTGAGGAATGCTCAAGGGGGAGGAGTGTTCTGCCTGACCTTGGGGGCCACAGCTCCAGACCTGGACCAGTGGGGGAGCCCGAGGGAGTGTTTGACAGCCTCAGGACAGTGCCCCTCCTGGGCCACCCGTTAGCTGTGCTCTGTTCAGTGGCTGGGATCAGGCCTTCTGTGTCACTGCAGACCTGGTGGCCCAGAGTTTGCTGTAGGCATGCTTCCTAACACACAGGTTTCCTGGCAGTGTGGTATGGGGTGGGTGTGGGTGTGGGTGTGAGCACTGGCATCACTGTGGTGTGCAAAACAGCATGAACTGCCACGAAGACCAACTGTTGGCTTTAACGTGGCTGCCTCTGACTTCATATATAGTAGAGGAAATAGAGCTAGCACATTAAAACTCCGTAAGTAGTGTGCAAGACCAGGTAATGTTGGAAAAACAAATCTGGAGTTTATTTGACGAAAGATACTAAGTAAATAGCAGCATGTGTGTGTTCAGAGTCGGCAAACACGGAGAAGTGGTGGTGCGCCCGATGGGCACCTGGGCTGTGTCAATTGGGCTCCGTTCTCCAGGAAGCAGATAAAGGCCAGCTGGGTCCTGCTTGCTGGTATCCAGGCTCACTTGCGCTCACAGGCTCACTATGACGGGATGCCTTTCAACATCACATAATCACTGGGAAAGACCAGAGGACTTCCTTTTCATTTAAAAATGCACTGATACCCGTAGAATAAATGGAGAGGAGAGAGGAGAAGGGAAGAGGAGAGGGGAGGGAGGGGAGAGTAGGGGAGGGGAGGGAGAGGAGAAGGGAGAGAGGGACAGGAGAGAAGAGCAGAGCAGAGGAGAAGAGAGGAGCGACTTCCCCAGTCCTTATCCCGACTTGCACTGGTTTCACTGGCCCACAGCTTCTTCCGGGTCTTTGAGTCTCTGGGTGCTTTTTGTCCTAGGGTAGACGCACCCTGTAGTCTCCGTTTCAGATTTTGCACCTCGACCTGCTGGGGTGCAAAACCCTCTTCACTGCAGTTGTTGCTCTCGGCATTGTGGGCCTCTTGTCATTCCTCAACCCTAACACGCTCTTCCCTCTGCTTGACTTTGACCCCGACGCCCTTGTGAGTAAAGTGGAATGCACGGCATAGCTCGGGTGCTGGGTTCCAGCCACTTCCCCAAGTGCCTTCCTTGGAAGACTTTCCGTGACCCGGAGCTCCTTGCCTGTAACCTTCTGTGATGTTCCATGAGGTGAAATGTTCCCTCCTGTCCTGTTCTGTGTTTACCTCTTATCTCCGGAGGCACCCTCGGATCCACAGCGTTCTCTCTCCAATTCATGGAGGTGCCTTTCCTCCCTCAATGAGAAAGTCTCCAGAATGCCGCTGATTCCCCTGGAACCCTCTTTCCCCATTGTCTGATATTTAAAAGCCTCTCTCTTGTGTATATGCATTCAGATTGCTGTTTGTCTGTCTTACGCTCTCTGATGAATGGTTTACTTTTTGATGCACTGTACATAACCATCCAGTTTATGATGTAGGCTTAAGGCACAGTGAAATCAGGAGTTTGTTCAGTTTTCTTGATATATAAATGGTTCTCTTGTAATCAGTATGCTACAGAATGATGGGCTCAGGAGAAAATATTCTTCATGTTTAGGAAAGAAAGAAAGGCTGATTATTTATTTATTAATTTTTTTACAGGCTGGATTACAGTGGGCCTTCCAGAGAGTTTTTCTTCCTGGTGTCCAGAGAGCTCTTTAACCCCTATTATGGCTTATTTGAATATTCAGCCAACGACACATACACAGTGCAGATAAGCCCCATGTCTGCCTTTGTGGACAATCACCATGAATGGTAAGAATTCTTCCCCCCCTCCACCCCCCCAGCATTTGTCTTCGGTTGATTTTCTGTGATATTTGTTTGTTTATTTTTAATAGGAGCACCCATTTCATACCGTTTTGCTTGGAAAAGATATTATGAGTTAATGACCTCATTTGACTCAGTTTTTGTTGTTACGTTGCAGTAGGTGGGCAGTCCCCAGGCTGGGAACAGATAGTTACAAGAGATCAGTTTTTTCCCAAGCCGAGATGATTTTAGGTTCCTGGTGAGAGTCCTAAATTCCTTAGTGCACCTTTGGGTGTCTGAGCACTGAGCTGGGGAGGAGAAGAGGAGGAGCCCAACCTTAAGGCCTGGCTGCTTTTCCGGTGGCCCTTGAGGAAGTGGTTGGCAGTGGGTGGGGAGGGAGCCAGCAGCTGGAGCGCTGGCCAAGGGGTGGCCAGGAAGGAGTGGGCAGGGTCAGAGACCTGGAGGAGCTGGTGGTCAGTGCAGGAGCACAGAGTCACCCTCAGAGCCCACTCTGCGTAGGAGCCACTCCAAATTTATAACCAGGGGTTGCCTCTTCCCTGAGTGGTCACACAAATTCATCAAGCAGAGCAGAGCTGATGTAGGAGTCCCATCTGGAGGTATTTATTCTGGGAAACCCAAATGGTGCTCTTCGCATCTTTTTTAAATCCTTGAATTTTACACTATAAACAGTAGCACGGCCCCCATCGCCGTGTTCCTGTTCATTTTCGCTGAAAGTCACAAGGGAAGGACGTGGCCAGGGTGCCTCTAAAAGCTTCCCGAGTGACCAGAGCAGGGTGACTGGGTGGAGCAGGGCGCCAGCTGGGATGTGCTCTGCGTGCCAGCTCCCGGTTCCCGCTGTTTGGGGTTCTCCTTCCCCTCTCTGACAGTTGTGCTGACAGACATGGACACAGGGGGATGAAGCGCTGCACACTCACCTCCAAACAGCTGCCCCACACTAAAATTACAGACCGACAGAGTGAATCCCAGGTGTGTCTAAACTTCGGAAGGCAGCCCGCTGGAGCAGCTGGAAACTCACACGGTCTCCGGAGAGAAAGCAAGTGCTCCTGCGTCTTGGCAGGAGAGTCCTGGAGCTGATTCAGAATGGAACCAAACTTTGACATTTTGAATAACAGAATGTCCCACGAGGAAACTCCCCCAAATGTCCACACATAAATTCGGACTTGGTGGTGGTTACCACCAGGAATTGGGTTTGAAACTTTCTCAATCCACAACGGGGCTTTTCACAAAAGGGAATCGCTACTGAGTTTGTCCTGGAGAAACCCAGCTGGCAGTCACACACGTAGATTCAAGGGGACAACACCCTCTCTGCCCCGCTGGTCTCCTTCTGCCAGTGTCTCATGAGGGTGCCCTGGGGAAAAGTCACTGAAATGCTCATGGGGGATTCGAGTCCTCACATGTGGGTGTCACATGGTGACAGGGACACAGTCAAGCAGTAAGCCGAGATCAGCTGCTGGCCAATGAAGGCACAGCTTACAGTGCACACAGCGCTCATGGGCCTAATCTGCAGCTCATCTTGGGCAAACAGCGTGACCCTGGAGCCATGCTAGAAAGCAAACACAACCGTTTAGAGACTGCTGTGACATGTCCGCGGTCATGTTTTTCTTTCACAGGTTCCGGTTCAGTGGTAGGATCCTTGGTCTTGCACTAATACACCAGTATTTATTGGATGCCTTCTTCACACGGCCCTTTTACAAGGCTCTTCTCAGAATGTAAGAATATCTTTTTTGTTCCTGTAATTAAAATGTGAAAATGCAGTGTTTAACCTGGCCGTGTGACCCCTGTTGTTCCCGTGCTGTGGGAGGCTGAGGCAGGAGAACTGCAAGTTCAACCTCAACCTGGCCAAGGAAGCCATTTAATGAGACTATGTCTCAAAATTTAAAAAAATAAATAAATCAATGAAGAGCTGAGGATATAGCTCACTGTAAAGGCCCAGGTTCATTCTCCAGGACCACCAAACCAAACCAAGTTTATTAAAAAGTCTTCAGTCTTCTGTCAGAGTGGCTGTCTGTTCATTGTTGTAAGTCTGTTGCCATTAAACTGAACAGTAGTTTTGATTTGGAAAGTAACACAGTTTCAGATATGGTCACTGGTTCTTTTCCTGCTTCTGACCCTTTCTTTATTCCTGTCTAGCCACCAAAGTGCTTTGCTGTGACTATCTATTCTCATTTGTGGCAACACATGTTTCCTCAAAACCACTGTACTTCAAACGCAGCCCTGGAATTCCTGCGGTATTAATGCCAATTATTAATAGAATAGCTGGGGCTCGGCCTGCTGACTCACAGCCCCGAATCCTTTATGAGATGCATTTTATATTTCGCTTCATCTCAGTCCTCAACTGCTTGCTGCTGGCCAAAGTTCCCTTCTCCTTTGTTCTGTTCTTGTTTTATGTTTGGCTTTTTTGTGAGGGTTGGGAGAGTTCCCCATATGTGAACTGGTAATGTATCACAGCAGGTAGAAACTCAGCATTTTTCTTTATTGTTAGGACGGCAAGGGACTGAGATTGCAGAGGCGTGGAGAGAAAACTGTCCCTGAGGTCATTCACCAGGCAGAGCAGGGACAGGCGGCCTTAGGGTTGGAGGCCTGAGTCCTCATTTGCTTGTGTCCTGTGCAGTCCTGACCTGCTTTCTGCAAAACAGAAGCATGGACCTCACCCTGCAGCAAGCAGGCTGTCTCTCGTGGCCTGGGGGTTCCCAGCGGAGTGTCTGCCTGCCTTTTAGGGTTTCACAGCTGCAGCTCTCCCTGGGCCCGCTCCTCTCAGGCCACTTGCATCTCCACACTCTGCACCTGTCTCCACCACTTCCTGCCAGGGCGATCCGACAAGCTGTGCCTGCTGGGCTCGGGTTCACACCCTCCACAACCTCAGTCCGGCTGCCTGCATGCCAGGAGCCCTGGAGCTTCTACAGAACACGCTTCAGGCCTGTCCTGGGGCTGTCCTGCTGTGCCCCGTCTGACTCTTCCTTGTCCTCTGCCCAAGCTGGCCCTGCAACCTTAGTGTCCTGAAACCCCCTTCTGCACTTGGCCTCTGCCTGCCCATGCAAGGTGGACATTGAGAGTCCCTTCCCCTGTCTCACACCTCACCTCCTGAGACCCCCACACCTGTGCGCTGGCCTCAGTCTCGTGTCACGAGTTCAGGTGGTCAGCAGCCCTCCCCACTCTTACGGGGACACCACCTCAATACAGTTAAGACAGAACTTGTCATTGTCCCGCATCTAAAGAGGACTTCCTGGTGTCTGGCCACCATTAACAGTGTGTGCATTTGTGGCCCCTTTGGTCAGAATGTGGAAGTGTCCCTTACACGGGGCTGGCTTGTGCACAGCACACGTCTTTCCCCTTCCCGCCTTGGATCCCGTCCCAGGAAATGGTTCACAGGTAGTTGACGTTTTTCTGGTGGAACTCAGGAGCCCCCCAGATGGTCTCCCCAGCTTACAGCCCTCAGGGCTGTCCATCGATGAAAGCTGGCGGGGGCATGAGCTCCTTCACTGTCCTTGTTTAGATTCCCTTCTTCATAGCCCTTCCCAGCGAAGCATTTACAGATTTCTTCACTTGCTTGCTAAATAATCTTCAGGTTTATCTTCTGTCCACTCTTAATTAGAACCCTGGTGTTTTTTTTACCAGGATTGCTGAAGTGGTCTATCAGTGAGTCTCTGTCCCATTTTAAATAACCCTCTACCCTGGACTTCTAGGGGACCAGCCCCTGTCACGTCTGTTTGTGTCATCCCGACTCGAGCTCCCACAAATGACACTCAGAGCCCACTCCCAGGCGCTCTCTGCTCTGGGTCTACCTTGCCTCTATTGCAGATTGAGGTTTCATTTAGAAAATAGGTAAATGTAAGTGCTTCCACACGGTGGGCTCCTTTACCCCCACCACGTACGCCCTCTGACTGTGTGCCTGTCTTCCCGGGAACAGTGACATCGCGCTCGTCACATTGCCCCTAAGACGTCTGGCACACGCTGGGTGCCTGATAAATGTCTAGAATGAACTGACAAAATGACCCTTGAAATTTCAGCACAGCTGTAGCAAATCAATTACTACCACCTTGCAAAGGGCAGATAATCACAGCTCCACCTCATGTACAAGCTGTCTCTGCAATGAAAAATAAAGGGGAGAGGGAAAGACATGCAGAAAGTCACTGTAATCATGGAGAGAATCTTTGGCTGCGTGTCTTCAGAACTGCAGAACAAGAACCATGTAGAGAAGGGGGTTCGTGAACATGAGTCAGGATCTAGTCTTTAAAAACAAGGAAAACCAAAGCACAGCACAGAAATATAAAGAACTTCAAATTAGAACAGTATTCTAAGGTGGTGTAACGTTGCTAAAAAAGAATAATCTGAGTTGTCAACCCAAGCTCTGTTTGGAGACTAGGACTCATTGTGGGTGACAGTGTCAGTAGCAGCCACTGTGCAGCTCAGTATGTAGGAAAGGGACATGCAGGATGGTATCTGTGATGTTTTATACATGCAGGATGCAAAATTCAATGCCAAACTTGAGAACTACTTCCCTGGTTTGGTCACTGAACTTGACCGAGAACATTTCAGTAGTCACTGCCTGTTAAAAATTTGATCTCGTTCCTGCAAACTTGCTTTATTCCTGACTCTGGGTTCTTGCCAGTAGCTGAGTGCCTGTGTTTGCTTCTGTTTGTCCCCTTAGCCTGTGTGATCTGAGCGATCTTGAGTACCTGGATGAAGAGTTCCACCAGAGCCTGCAGTGGATGAAAGACAATGACATCCATGACATCCTGGACCTCACGTTCACCGTGAACGAGGAAGTGTTCGGGCAGGTCTGTGCGGGGCGCACTCCTTGTGGGGTCGCTGGAGTGCAGCTGGTGAAAAGTTAATTCCGCAGCTCAGATCGGGTGCTTGTTTATTTGGGTCTTATCAGGCGATCTAAACACAGGATTGCGCTCAATGATGGTATTTTTGGTTATGAGGGTTATTCTGTGCCAACTGCAGCTTAAGACATTCTCATTCATAGATTATAATAAGCCTTTATATGTCACACACAATCTTTATTTCCAAAAGTGTATCCATGGAAGATACACTCGCACATACCTTCTATGTAATAACTGTGTGCTGATAGAGAATATGGTTTTTAACAGTCTCTGAATATGAAGTTACCAAATTGTCATATGTAGTTAGCTCATTCAGATTTCAGAACTTGATTGAAATTGATTGAAACTTGATTGAAACTGAGGGAATATTGATAGTATTTTGGAGAAGGCTTGAAAACGCAGCTTAAATTGGTTTATTTCAAAGTTGGTAGAATCGTAGATTAAAAGATTTCTTCCAGCAATTACATCTTAGTTCTTATAAGGCACTAGCTTGTGGCTTGTTTTTTGAACTTCACGTATTTTGAAACAATAAGTTCTCAATTCAACATGCACTTGAGTGTAATTGTGTTCGCTGAAGTAGATCTTCAGTACTGGCTCTGTGCATGCAGTGGATTCTGAATGGTGGAGGAATTTGTGGAAAGGGTTTTGTCAAACATTCAGACAGTGGGTACCCGGAGCCACCCATCAGCATTTAAAAAACAGTTGACCACACCAGACCACACCAGTGCGTTGTTTAGAGCAGCCAGGCTACACGCTTGGGCTTGGTCCCTGGCATCTCCTCTGTACCTCTCTGTCCCTGAGCTCAGCAGGCTCCCCGGGGGGTTGGGTGGGCACAGGTGGCAGTGTTCTAACACCCAGTGTGTTGCTTTCCGGTCAGATTACTGAACGGGAGTTAAAGCCAGGGGGTGCCAACATCCCGGTGACGGAGAAGAACAAGAAGGAGTACATTGAGAGGATGGTGAAGTGGCGCATCGAGCGGGGAGTGGTGCAGCAGACCGAGAGCCTGGTGCGCGGCTTCTACGAGGTAAGGACGCGCAGGCAGCCTGGACCGCGTCCTCCAGCGCTTTCCGTGCCTGCAGCGTTCCCATCCCCCCGCTGGGCTCCAGTTACTGCGATTGCTCTTTTCATTTCAAAAGTCCAGCTTTTCTTGCCTCCTTGGAAAGTACGCACTTCAAAGTCTAATGCCCTCCTTAGGGAAAAACCAAAGTGAACGTGAGGACACAATTGCGAGTAGCATTTGATGCTTCCGTGACCTCTCAGATTTGTGCTTAAACACAGTAATCAGATCTCACGCTGGATCTGTGAAATACTCGAGGACTAGCAGGAGTCATTATGTGTCTGTCTTCCATATGACTTTTTTTGGGAGGAGCATTAGATCTATTTTCAAAAGAGAAAAGCAAATAGTTTCATCAGCGGTCAGTTACAAAGCAGGACTTTTCCCATCGAGGACTGAGCTGCTTGGCTCTGAGGTGGATGAGAGCAGGCATGCTCTGGATAGTGCAGCTAGGCAGCAAACGGACTTCACTGAGCTCATCTCACCCACTTTACACTAAATGTAGCAACACCCCGTATTTACAGAGACCCTTGCCGTGTTTCAGATGCTTCCCTGGGGTGCACTGGGTGACCCCAGGACTCCCCGTGCCCTCCTTTCCCATACTTCCCCAGGCGCAGCATGCCCTGTACTCTCTCCGTCCCACAGGTGGTGGATGCCAGGCTGGTCTCTGTGTTCGATGCACGTGAACTGGAACTGGTCATCGCGGGCACCGCTGAAATAGACCTGAGTGACTGGCGAAGCAACACAGAATACAGAGGAGGTGAACTCTGACTTGAGGGTGGCTGGGCTTCGGGTCCCCGTTGAAGGGAGGCGTAGCTCAGCATGCCAGGCGTGACAGATACTTGCATGCTGATCAGAGGTCTGCGGTGATCTCCATGGAGACACCAAGCAAGGGAGACTCCTGATCTCCCAGCCGCTCCTCCGGCACAGCGGGGAGGTGCTGTATGTGCCCCACCCGAGGGTGTCATCATGCCTCACTGTGTGAGAGCCAGCGTGTCCACAGGACAGCTCGTGAGTTACTTTGTAGTGCTGTCACTGCAGCTCTAGGAGCTGACAGCTGCTGTCCTCCCTCCACCAGTCCCATTGGTCCACCTTCATGCTAAGGCTTCCCGCTTTAGCCTCCTCCAGCCGGTGGACCGCTGGCTGCTTGCAGGTCAGGGTGAGACACTTGACCCGGAAAGACGCAGTGCTTGAAATTCACTAAGTGCATTGGCCAAGTCCCACTCAGTGGGAGCTTACATTCAGCTGAAAAGGAGGCAGCTGTAAGATGAACTTCAGTGGGAAGCGATGGAAGTGGATTTTGGTGAATCAGGAAGAATTTTCGTTTAGTAACTAGGACCAAAGGAGTTGACATTTAATTGTTACATCTGGGACCTAGTGGTACTCAAGGGTTAGTTTTGCCTCATAATTTTAAGCAAAGAAGGACTGCATTTTCTGGGAATTTGTTACATATTAGAAAGTCTTCAGAAATACCAGTTGTTTTCTGGTTTGGGTTTTGTTTCTTAACTCAGAACAGAAGCTGGTATAGCTTAGTGTCAGATAAACGGAGAGCGGAACAGGGCTCCCGTTACCTCTCAGCTGGGGCAGATCGGCAACAACCACCACCATAATTTTACAAGTCTGGAGTAAAAACATGGCTTAACACTCGCCAAATCGCTCTTGCTTGTGCCCCTGCCTGGCTCTCCTGGCCTCCCCTGGTGGGCAGCTGGCCTCGCTTGCCGGATTTCTCTGGGAAATTATATTAAATTGAAGTTCTGATTGCTGCTCTTCCTGAAGTCAGTTTTCCAGTTGGCCCCGTGGATACTCCTCAGATAGCTTTGGTTTTTATAACCAGACTACTTTTACTGACTTGAACGTAATTTCTTACTGTGCCCATGACTTACATTTTTCCATAAATATTATTTGCTCAGTCTTCCGCCTCACCCCCACGAAAGTCTGACAGCATCGCAGTTCACCCAGGCAGCCACTTTAGTATTTATTTGGTATAAAGCTTCGTCGCCCTGTCTGACTCATCAAGGATGACACAGATGGAGCCGTAAATGTTATCAAGCGAGAGCCCGGGGGTATGCAGATAAGGGGCAGACACATCTGCTAACCCAGCTCACTGGCACGAAGGACAGAACACACTGCGCGGCCTCTCACCGCATGTGCACAGGCAGGGAATCCCATTAGACGCATTCAGTTCTTCTCCCAGGAAGGCGTAGCCCAGACAGCAAGGGGACCCTTACGCACAGAAGACTTGGATGCTCCAAAATGCCAACGGTGCGCTTGTTTTATAGACAAAAGCACCACTCACTCGGAACCAAATCGTTTAGTCTCTACCAGAACCTGCACAGGACCTGCGGGTCACCGTGCCCAGTCGTTTTGATTTACCCAACTCCTGGGTCTCTCTTCTCCAAGGGGCACTAAATGCCCTTGATGAAAAGGCAAAGTGCAAGGTGAGAGGCCTTCAGATCCTACACTACAAGTGGAATGGTCTCTCCCCATCCTGTTTAGTTTTTGACTGCTGAATCAAAGTGAAAGCTTTGATGAACGTGAAGCACGACTAGCCATTGGCTTGCATCCTGGTCAGACTTCCCTCTGAACTTAATTTTCACAGAGAGGTCTTAGGAGACACAGCGACCACCTTGACTCCCTGTGCGTGATACTCTGACATTTCATTAAATTCTGCTGAGCTATGCAATAAAAGCAAAACTCAGTTGATGATTGGTGAGAATTTATTGGTCAAAGGACTTAAAGGTCACTTTCCCTTTTTATGAGTAAATCAGTATGAAAGTACTTTGGTTTTAAAATATGAATATTAAGTGTAGCTTTTAAAAAAGAGCTTTCAGTTCAGTGTTCCCGTGTGTAAATGCCTTGATTAATGTCCCTCCTTCACCTGCCAGCGAAGGTCTCTTGCTTTGCCTTGGTTCTCCCTGAGCTTAGCACAATGCTTGGCACAGTGGTAGCAAAGATCACTTCTTACGTAAATGATCAAAAGAGTCACACATTTCTCATACCAGCAGTTATATTTGTTAGAAAGAGTACAGCTAAAATAAGCTGTTTGTTGTTCTTGCCACTGTTTTCCTTCAGTGACCACTAAACAAAAACAGCCCTCAGTTTCATGGAGGGTTGTCTTCATCGTAACTCTTTACAGTCATAGGATCATATTTACCCTGCTGTTCGTCAGTCTGAAATTATCAACAGTCTCTAAAGAGTCCAAGATGATGCTTTAGGTTGGGGGGTCTTCGTTGGGTAACTTCTTGGGGTAGGAGCGAAGACTGAGTGTAACAAAGGCTTTCCCCGCTGCTCCGCTAGGGTACCACGACAATCATATCGTGATCCGGTGGTTCTGGGCTGCGGTTGAAAGGTTCAACAATGAACAGCGACTGAGGTTGTTACAGGTAAGAGGTCACCGTGAACCCTCGCGGTGCCATACTGTCACTGTTGGAAGGGTCTGTTTTACTAATTTCTAACTGTGCCCCATAAATACATACTGTCTGTCTGCAAATGAGGGCTCCACTGAGCCCATCCTCTTCCGGTCACATGGTGACAGGACCCCGTGGCTCTGTGAACACCCGGGTCAAGTCACAGCCTTTCCCTAGTGGCACACAGCATGGAGTCCAGTCCAACGTCTGCCCGCAGGACAGCCGGCCGCTTCAGTGAGAGGCCCAGGCTCGCTTGCAGCCAGCATCCCTAGCAGGAGAATGAGATGCTGCTCAGTCCTTCGAGGGTCCTGGTTCCTGGGTAAAGAGGCCTTTCTCCCACTTTGACTGACTCCATGAACTAGGAAGACAGTGGCATTCAGCACTGGGAAAACACACTCACTTTGGTTTGTTTTTGGACGTCACATTTCTGGTTGTGCAAGGCACCTGCTAGTTGGATACAGAACTATCAGCCATGGGGAGGCCTCTCGGGTTCTCAGGCAGAGTTTCGAGGAGCCCGGGCCTAGTTCCTTGGGGTTAAGGGTTTGGATCTCAGATCTGCAGGCCAAGAAACTGTTGCTGCAGGGCTGAGGCTGAGTCTGCGTGGACTGGTTGATATGCTCCCCTTGTTCATCTCTCACATCCCTGGCCGAGCATCTGAGTAGACGAGGTGCACGGAGTGTCTGTTTCTGCACCCCTCCGAACCCCTCTCCCACCCCGTGTAATGAACCCTCCTTCCCCATCTGCCAGCTGCTAGTGTTAGGGTCCTGCCACGCTGGGGAAGCTTCTGTCCTCTGAACTCCCCACTGCTCCTCCCGGGAGCCCTGCGTGTGAAGACGCGGCCCCTCAGCCTTCACCCTCTCCTCTCTCTTGGGTCGACAGTTCGTCACGGGCACCTCCAGCATTCCCTATGAAGGATTCGCTTCTCTTCGAGGGAGCAACGGCCCCAGAAGGTTCTGTGTGGAGAAGTGGGGGAAAATCACCGCTCTTCCCAGGTAAAATAAAATTAACTTTTCCTTATTGCCACTGCAGGCGCTCTAGGGGAGCCCTCAGATGCGTGTTTATATTTTATGTTAAAAGTCTGGCAGAAGGTGGAGCATAGTGGTGCCCACCTGTAATCCCAGTACTTGGGAGGCTGAGGCAGGGGGATCGCTGTGAGTTCGAGGCCAGCCTGGGCTACAAAGTAAGACCTTGTCTAAAAAAAAAAAGTTTGGGAAGAAAGTTTTTACAATGAATGTGTCTCTATTACTTTCCTCAATAAAAAAAAAAAAAACCAAGGTCTCCTCAGTTAAACTTAAACTATCTACACCCACATCTCAAAACACAAAGCACAGCCAGCGAGCAGGCCGTGTCTCAATACCTGGCTGGTGTTACTAGACAGGCCGCGGTCACCGTCATGTTTGCCCTTGAATCTAGGTGTTTGCAGGAGTTCTAGTTTCACGTTTATAGCTGTGTAGAATCCCTACACGGAGATGACCGTAGCGCGGCTAAAGTGTATCACTCTGCACAGGGCAGCCCTCTGCTCCTTTAGCCCGCATTGTTCACTCTGTCTGCACACACGTGCTCTCTAACGTGACCTAGGGGTGGACGATTGCTGCTACATGCATGAGGCTGGTAAAGTAGGGTGTGTGGAGTGACAAAGAAAAAGCAAGTGTTAGAGATCAACTGGTGATAACCAGAGCTGGACAAAAGCAAAGGAGGGGAAAGGAACAGAGGAGGAATGGATTCCTTTCCAGTCCAGGCCGTGGTGAAACTGCAGAAATTTTGAAGTGAGAGAGATCTCAGATCACCTCTGACTTTATGACAGCCTCCCCCGAGGCTGGTGGGCGCTCGGTTCTCTGACATGCCGATAGAGATGACTTGAGGAGCGGTTGTGTCAGTGGAGTACGGTGATACGAATGTCCAAAGACGTCACCATGGACTGAAGAGCAGCTAACGCTGAGGAATCTGGCACTTACGGCACTGAGCTAAATCCCGGCCAAGACGCCGATTCTTAGGAATTGGGCTCAGTATCAGCCAGGGACCAGGGCGCTGAAAACACACCACTGCTTCAGCCACCTCCTTACTGTCTGGCTGCTCAGTAGGACAGATCTGGGAGGTTAGGGTTTCATTATTTAAAGAACTAGTTCGCTTTACATACGCTGGGGAAATGGGTGTTTTCTCCCTGTAACACTTTCCAGAAGTAATCAAAATATACACTTAATGTTTAAATTTTTAAAAATTATTACAATAAAAGACGCGTAGCCATCCCTTTCCCTTGAGCACACTTACCCACTGTTCCTACCACCTTCTGAAGCAGCTCTGGAGCTCTTTCCTGAGTATCTGTACAAAATGGCACAAAAAATGTGAATGCTGCTGCCAAGCCCCATCCAGTGGAAAAGCAGCTCCTGAAAACACGACGCTGAGTCCTCCCCCGCCTTCACCGGATCTGGCACTGCGCAGCTCTTCCCCAAAGTCAAAATGGCCACGAAAGAAAAACGTTTTGAATCCATTCAGGATGTCAAGGCAGCCAGGACAGCACAACTGAAGACCCTCAGGGAGGAGGACTGCAGAGCTGCTGCAGAAAGGGCCAGGGTGAGGGGATCCTGTGTCAGAGTGAGGGGGAGTGTCTGAGCAGGATGGATGGCCATGCGTCTTTTACTGTAGTGGGTTTTTAAATTTCAGCATTCACCATAGTCAATAATCATGTCTCATATTTACATCTCAAAGGCAGATTTAAGCTGTCTCAGCTAAGGCTTTTACCTCTTTGGGAAACCTAACAATTACTATGAAAAATACAGAAAAAAAGCCAATTAGTTATGTCACCTTTCTGTGGAAATTCATTTTTGGGAAGACACTAGAGTATGTGGGATAAACCGTAGCAGTGAACAGACCTGTAGGTTGTTTATATTTAATCCCAGAGATTTTCACACTACAGCCTCCATTTCCTTCTTCCTGCTTCCGAGGGTTAAATGCAGTTGTGCCGTGGTCTCTGGCCTGAGTAAGGACCTGGTCGGTGGCGGCTGCATTGTGATTTCAGTCCGGCACTGACGTATAAGAGGCCCTGGTAGACAGAAGGGGCAGAGGGCTGGGGTCGGACGCCGGGTCCACATCCCCGCGGTCTCCAGCTGTGATGGGAACTGTCCAGATCCTAGACCTCCAGGTGCCAGCTGACGGGGCTGCAGGAGGCCAGGAGGGGTGGCAGGTTGGGAATGTGGGCCAAGCGCCTCTTCCTCCCTTCACGGAGACCTCAGGGGTTCTGCATTCTAGTTTTGCCCTGATCATAGACTTGCACAAGTGAAGACGGTACCGCCTGCATCTGTAAAACAGGAACAGCGGTGCGGAGCACAGAGAATGTTCACGTGACCCCGTGAGACGTTTGTGAAGATTTTGGGGATGGTGATTTGCTCTCCTTGATCCCAGATCTTTTAGCCCAAACCTCGGTAAACCTGTGGCTGCAGTTCTTCACTCACATCTGCTCCACAAAAGAGCCATCTGGAGGAAATAAAGATAAGAAGGACTTAGAGCCTGCAAGGAGAGTTTCAGCAGGAGCAGTGTCTTCCCTGGCAAAACCTGCGGCCCCCTTTGCGAAGTCTAGGAACCTTGATGTGAAGAAGATCTGTAAGTTCTGTCTAAGGAGATGGTTTCAGAGCCCCACATGGCTGCCTCCCACCCCCAGAGCGGGCATCCCCAAACCGTCTTCGTGGGATGTCTAAGTCACAGCGTGAACAGCTGATCCATCTCGCAGTGGTCAGCCCCGTGGACTGCCTTTCCCTGTTAATGAACACTGAAGATGTGACCGTGAGAGGTGGTGTCCTTCTTCCTTAACAGATGATCCTGAAGAAGCCTGGCATAGCTGTCCTGGGAGAGTGCACAGGCTACGGATGCCCTGGGACGTCAGAGCCTCGAGGGAGGTGTGCAGTCTGCTGTGATGGGGCGGATCCCGGGCCTTTCACCCTCCCAGGCCAGCGGGTCTGAGTCCCTCTGCTCTCTCTGAGTTCCTGCTCTCACTTAATGGCTAAGAAATACATTCAGATATGTGTGGTGGTCGCTGAAGCCAGCATGGGCTGAACCTTGGCACTTTGCTGTGTCTCTCTTCTGCAGTGCTAACGTAACCGCGGACCTAGTTTGTCTATGGTGATGAGGACCCAGGGTGTCTCCGCAGAGACCGACAGCTGCAGCCCTGGTCGCACTTGCTCTGCTTGGTGGCTGGTGCCTGGTTAGCTGTGTCTGCCTTCCTGCAGGACACTTCTATCCCGTGGTGGGCTTCGCGAGAGGACACTAAATTCGTTTCATGGCAGCTGCTTTTAAGTGGCCCCCAGTGGGGCGCTCAGGCTTTGCCTGGAAGATGGGGACAGAGCTCCTGGCTCATCCCCGAGGTGCTACTCAGAGAGAGGAGGCACTCGAGGGTCAGATGGCTGGGCTCACCCTGAGCGGGCGAGCGACAGTTTCTGCCAGGGAGGAAAACGCTGATTTTTGAAGATGGCTGCGCCTGGAGGTTAGAATGAATGAAATGCTCTCCAAGATAAGAAGTTAAATATAAAAACTGATTATGAAATAAGTATCTCAGGGAGACAATGTTTTGACAGCAGAACAGAACTTAAAAACGGTAAAATTGAGGCCAAGGTGCAGTGCCTGTGTGGCAAGGGCAGGGTCCTGAGTTTGATTCCTGTGCAAAACTAATAAAAGATAAAAGTATTCTTTTTTATTTTAAAGAAAAAAAAAACAATAAAAACAATGGTACAAAATTTCAAAACAAGATTGTAGGAGAATAAGATTGTAGGAGAATACTGGTTAGTAACAATAGGTATTGTTATCTTCAAAGCAGTTGCTCATATTATAAGATATAAAGATGAAAAATTAGTCAAGTAATTTAGGCACACATCTTTCTTTTCAATGAACTAATAGCAGCTAGTAGTTTAACTAACATGACTATTGTGTGTGTGTGTGTGTGTGTATGTAATTTCTCCTTTCTCTTTTCCTTTCCTCCATCCAGTTTCTCTTTCCTTTTGAACAGTTCCTTCCCACTTCACAATATTTATTTACATTTTGTATCTTATTTACTCTTTCAGTTTCTTATTCTAGGGAGACAATCTGATGTTTACACATGTGAGTCTGACTTACCTCACTTATAATTATGGCCTCCAGTTGTATCCACTTCCCTATAAATGTCTCAAGTTTATTTTTCTTTATAGCTGAGCAGTAACCCATTGTATAAAAATTATTCTTTAAAAATGGCAGCTTTTTTATTTTTATTATAACAAGAAAATGTCTTACAAAGAAGATATATAGTAAAGATATAGATATAAAGATATATATATGTTTAAGTAAGTTAAGTATATATTTAAATATATACACACATGCCAGTTGAAAACCAATCCCTGAGATAAACTGTGTTAGTGTTTTGGAGTATGTTTTCACTCATTCCTTCAAATACCCACATTTGTGCACACATGCGTGCACACGCACATTAGACCAAAAGGACAATTGTACTGTGTAATCTGTGTGACCTGCCTTTTGTTTGCCACGTATCAGCAGTCATGAACCTCTTTCTATGTCATTAAACTTCATCCTACAGTAGTTCAGTTTTACCTCCTCTGGTACAGAGAGCATTGTCTGCTCTCAGAGTGAGCTAATAGCTTTTGAATAGACAAAGAACTGAGCAGTTCTAACATATAATGTCACTTTTCTCAGTTAAAAAAAAAAAAGCTGGGCAAAGTGTCCCATGTGATGATCCTAGCCACTCAGGAAACTGAGGCAGGAGTGTCACAAAGTCCGTCTAGGCAACTTGGCAAGACCATGTCCCAAAATTAAAACAAAAATGGTTTTCAGGGACAGAGATACAGTTCAGTGCTAGAGCACCTTCCTAGAATGCGTAAGGCCCTGGGTCAATTCCCAGTACCACCAAGAAAATAAAGTGAGCGAAAGGATGAGCCCCGGAGGCCCCATATTTGCTCCAAAGCAGCTTCTAGGTCTCCCCAGTTCTCCACCATCTGCTGGTCGAGGACCCACTGGC